ATGGCCTTGTTAGTTTTTGCAGTTGGTTTCTCAGGTTTGGATTTAGTACTTTGCCATTGGAAACGTAGAGTCTTTGCAAGTTCAAAAATTATACCAAAGGATACAAATGTAGGGATGGTGTCGTCCCGAATCCTATGAGACAACAGCTCTTCCAGTGCCTTAAACTTCTACTTCTGCCCAAGAGAGAAGATTTTCATTATTACAAATCCGTAGTGAGAGCATCTTCAGACTCTACTGATAGTGGCAGCCTTGGACAAGGTAGCCAAGTTCAAAGAAAGTTGTTTAAAATGTCGAGCGAGATATCTACGACCAGGCAGGATGATTCCACAAACAAGTAATATTGTTCTCGCCATGGAGATTGGTATCTAGCATGATGTTTTCAATTTACAGGGTTGGCTGTGGAAAACCCCTTGCACGTCCAATGACAAGTCCCTGAAAAGTTGATGGACTCAAAGATGGTTTGAAGTAGTTTATAACTTTCTTTCTCGTTAGGACATTTTTTTTATATACCTTGATGCAGGTTCTACTTTAAAGGATTTCTTTTGAGCTACTACAGGGTGAAGGAGAGCTCAACATCGTCAAAGATGGATATCCAAGGCCAAGAACCAAAGTGAACCTTTGATGTATGTATGTCTTCCCGTTTAACTTTCTTCTAAGCTACTTTGTTTTTCTTTTGTAAGCTATCCAGTAGGATCCAGTAGGAGCACGGTCATTTAGAAGCAAGAGCCTTAGTTTAGAGAACTACAAGTTCCGTGACAAAGAGATGTCAAAGATACAAGGACTTTTAGTGACCATGTCAATGTCTCTGAAGGTCACCCTTGAAAGACTTGACTTTAGCGTAAGTATAAAGTACTTGCAATGTGAAGTGCCATCGCTATTAGCATTTTGTTGATGCTACAGGATAATATGATTTGAGTAAAAAGGTGCATATGATGAAGTTCTACCGCTAATGGTATGCTTTCTAGATTTTGTCTACTAGACAGCTTCTTCACACTTTCAAATTCGAGTCCTGGCTCAAATTTTTGATTGCTATAGTGATTTTGACTGTGGCTTTTCCAACCCTTTTGTCAAGAGCACTACAAGAGCATACATGGCTTCAAGCATCTAGTTCAAACAAATCAACAACAAAGATGAAATTTAGAATTGCTTGTGGCGCAAGCTTTTTCACGTTCATTTTCTTGCACATTTATTGCAAGATAGGGTTTAGCATCTAGTACAGAAAGCAATACACCACATTCTGCACCCAGCTTCTCTGAAGTCCTTAAGGAACTCTCTATCCGGATGCACAATGATCATTTTCTAGGATTCTGGTGTTAGGCATACAATGTTAACATGGTAGATTACCTGAGAGGGGCTTTCAGAGGCAGCTTGTGTTGCCATGGGATTGCTAGTTTGTGTGCTTTGAATTCTAGAAATTGTTAAGAGAAGCATTGCAAGATTTCACGAATAGATATTTGTATTATAGAGAAAACAATTGAAAAATAAACGAGACAATTGTATCTATTTCTGGTTGTTGGCAATTTCCATGGCTGAATTGTTTGGTGTCTCAAAATGGACTAATATTTGCCTCATTCAATAGAAAGAACCTTGTTGGTTTTGAAGACAGATAAACGGCAACCTTTTTTGGGGACTCCATAGCAAACTTGACCATAGACCCTTCATCCAAATTATAAATTCTATCCACCATTTTATCATGCACTGTAACTATATTCTATCATGTCATTTGATATAATAGAACCAATTATTGTAGCTGATTTATGAGGGATGGAATGCCCTTTACACTTTGCGCAAACAACAAAACCACCTTCTCTTTGCTCTAACATTGTGAAAGAGCAAAATGAGGAAAGGCTTTTAGCTTGAGTGAGGTTTTGTTGGTTGTCAGGGATGAAATATCCACTAATCTGTATAATTGGAAGTTAGAGTTGAAAGTAGATGTAAACAGTTTACATTACCTTGTCTTTAGAAGTGAGGCCACAGTGTGATTTATAAACTTCATTGAGCCTCTGAATTTCGATTGAATCAACTAGTGGCAAAAATAAAGTACTTCCAAGTGTTGCTAAATCACCTAATACACTCATGCTTTTCATAATATTAAAAAATAAAAACTTTGGCATATATCCAGCATATAAATCTGCTACAATATGATGATATTGCTCTTCATGCTCCAGATGCATATAGAGTTGTGAAAATATCTTAGAAATAGAAAATTAAATAGGAAAAAACATTACCATAGTTACGTCCAAAGGATTATCAGAAGAAGCAATCTTTATTTTAGGAAAAACACCAATGTTGATTACAACAGCATGTATAGCTTGTGTAGCCATTAAAGATGATATAGAAGCTCCTCTAGTTGGCTATAATCTTAATTTAACATCAAAATCATCTTTAATTTGAATGATAGAAGAATCTATAATATAAAGAACTTTTTCTAAAGTTCCATGGTGGTAAACTGGGTTTTTCTGTAGTTCAACCCATCTAAAGTGAGAGAATTATAATCTTGTTAATTTTTTTTAAAATAAATTACAAACCTTGTAAGTGAGAAACATTTACCAACCATAAATTTATTTTATAATCATGCACACATGGATGAATTGCCATATATAGTTAAAGTTTGCAAGCCATGCATATCTGTACAATCCATTATATAAGTTAAGTATTTTGCACTTTGCAGAGTGTTCTTTGCAGGCAAAAACCAAATCAAAACTACAGAAAAAAATAATTTTAAAACCATATATAAATAAAATCTTTAGCTCAAGAATTTTGGTTGAATTTGCTTTTTCAAAGACAAGTGATGCAATAGTGGCTTTTAGGATGGTCAACTTTGTCCTCTTTGCTTGTGAAACTACAAAACCAAAAAGAAATAAATCAAGAAATACTAAGGAATAAAGAGAAACCAAACCTTCATAAGAATCTGTTTCTGTAGACAAATCCTCAGCAGGTGACGATTGAACAATATCCATAGCACAATCCAAATCTGACATATCTATGTGATTGATTAAACAGAATTACCCCTAGTTAATTTATACTAGTAAAAATATCCAAAAATAAACTAGACTTCACTTTGAAGAATCGAAAACAAAAAAGAATAAAAATTTGAGCTAAAGATTAAAATCTGTAACTTGCCAAACTTAGGGTTATGGTAGACAATAAACCAATTCCACAGGTGACAAACCTTCTGAACCTTTTCAACCTTTTCATGCACTGACTCTCCTCATTTATAAACATCCTTGCCAGATACTTCTCATCATCGTCCAAGCTGAAGCTAGAAGCAGCCTGATTCTACTCCTTAGCTGCTACAATCTCCCTCCATCCATCGCTTTAGAAAAGAGGAATGAATAGGAATAGAAAGATTGTCCTCCACTGATCTTTGTTTTCTACCCACTGCCCACTCACATAATAGGGAGCCATACAGAGGAAGATCTAAGCTCCATCCATAGATGCATTCCAGGTTGATTGATTGATTCTGGGCAATCAATCAGTACTGCCATAGTGGGTTTCTGATCCTGGATCGTGGCTCTCAGCTCAAACCTCCAGGGAGAGCCAATTCTCAATCAATTCACTAGTCCAAATATGATTTTTCTTGATGCTTTCCAGAGACAAGAGCAATCCATTGGAGCCAGTGGACAATGCAGTGGCCGGGAACGACGATAGCATTGTGATTGATCTCGAGGGGGCACTACTCAAATTCCTGAGCTGGTTTCAATACTTCATGCTTGTCACAATTGAGGCTGGGAGGCCTCTATGAGCGCTCCTCTTTTTCATTCTTCCCTTCACGTGGATCATTGGCCACTTCGTCCATCCAGTCTTGGCTCCAGATTCTCTGCTTCATGGCAGAGCCCTTGGCAGTGGAACTTTGAGAGCTCCCTTGCAATTGCCATTCTGGACATAGAGCCCAACCAATACACTGTACTTTGCATAGTTTCTTTGGCTCATGCTCCAAAAACCACATATGCTCATGATGATACAAAGTGGTTAGAAAAGTTTATAAATTATATGTTAGCAGCGGAGAGACGGGAGGAAGAACTGTATCTATATATAACTGTATATGATTGTGTACATATACATAAAGCTACTGCCACGTGGGCATAACTACTGCCACATCATCTCTACCTCTAACATTATAAACATGTAAAAAATGGAAAAAGAAACCAATTATTATTAAGGAGATATAGTACTCACTTACGACAAAGTTAGCCTCCTTGACAGCCTCGAGGGAGATGGCACAGGCTCCTCTGGAGGCAGCAGCCATTGCCAAAGGGTACTACTGTCGACTTCCCAGCAAAGCTTTTCTGCTCGAGAGCATCCCGAGATGCAAATCTGACTATCCTCTGGTGAGGCTCAAGGGGGACGTCCAGGGGCACTACACTGGATCACGCGTGGTATGGCTTCAAGAAACGGGAAACTTTCCTGGACTTTGCTGGAGCTGCTCATAAGCATCAGGACGGGGTCGGGCGGCCAGAAGCTTCTCCACTTGAAGGAGTTGGAAGATAACAAGATCAAGGGCAAGGACAACATCAAGAACACGTGCTTCTGTTCTTGACGAGGAAGAGGAGCTTGACGAGGTTGCGATGACTCTGGAACCAGAGGAAGAAAAGAAGAAGCAAGAAAAGGCAACGGTGGATGTGAAGAAGTGGAAGAAAGCTACCACGGCTAGCATCCAGGCAACATGGAAAGCCCAGGCTCCCGCAAGCAATGCCAAGGCGCAAGGAGTGAACAAGAGTAGCAGCAGTGGCAAGCTCAAGATGGGGGGTGGAAAGCTAAGCGAGCTCATTAGAAAAGTAATGAGATAGCATTGACTGATAGTAGTCAGCGTTAGTCCACCCTACTAACGAAAATTCGCAGCTCAAGTCACACCATGATAATCAATCAATCCATCAGCGAGGCTACTCTCAGCCACATTGTCCGTGAAACAGAGCCTCATTCTAATGAATTCATTGATGTGCTTAAAGAATTAGTGACTACCGTTGACTGCTATGACTACTATTATCTACTACTTCCGATAAGAAATGTTATTGAAAGTTTATATTTTTAAAAACAGGAAATTAAATGTCCAAAGTGTTTGTTTGCCCCAATTCAATATCTCTCTGTTGTCTTAATGAAAAGTTGTTGTCTTGTTGCCTTGTTTGAGACTTGCAAATCATAATCTCCTAATTCAAATGCCTCCAGACTTCTCCATCGGTTATAATTTCGATTGAATACCACGGACCTGCCTTTGCCTGTTGCGGTTTAAAAAAACCGAAGTAATTTGTTTCATGAATCTTCATTCTGTGCCTGCAACCTCAAGCGTATCATCAGTCCAAAACGACCGAAAAGCGTACCTCCTTTCGCTCTAAGCTCCGTCGAGCTCAAGCTTAACCTCCAAGGTGGAAGGCTAGTCCAAGCAGAAGTTATACTTTAACTCGAGGCATGGAGACTGTTTACCTTGGCATCTGAGTCGTGTACACGAGCAGCCAAATGCGAACCTCCAGAATTGGCCGAGTGATTTGCCTCAACCACGGGCTTCTCCAGATTCTCCACCTCACGGATCCTAAAAGTGCTCCATTAGTCACTTGTTCTATCTCTCAAGCATGAAGACTTACCTGTGGGAGTGCTTGTTGCCGGGCCTCCTCATCCCAAACCCGGTGATCCTTTGCATGTGCTTCTCCATCTCAGCTCGCTTCTCCGCTGCTGCCGCAAGCCGAACAACGAAAGCATCTCCAGGATCGAACACAGTGCCACGATGAGACACTGGATCCAAAGCCTGTTCCTGGGCTCTTCGATCATTGCCGCTCCGACGAGCAGCACTCGACAAGAATGGATCCTCCGGGAGAGAAGCTCTTGGCACCTTCTTGTGCTCGTTGACTCCGTGGATCGCTGCTGGTGGATCTCGTCCCAATGGCGGCGTCAGGCGGTCGTCAACCGAATCGGTAGCAGCACCATAGATTGGATTCATCTTGAGAAAAGCCGAAGGTGGCAGCCGCCTTGGAGGCCTCGCGAGTGGAGGACTGGCCACCTTTGTGCTGGGATTTAGCTGCGACGGTCGAAGGTGCTGCTTGCTCCTCTCTTGAACGAAGGAATTGAGCTTGTCCCGGAGCTCTGCGTCCTCAATCTTGCTCAAGGGAACGAGATACTCTCGCTGACTGCCGCTGCTGCTGCTGCCACCGCCAGGAAGATGGCTGCTCCCGACGTAGCGCACCAGGATGTCGTTCGCCTTCTTTCTTCTTCCCTTCACGAGTATCCAGATGCCGGTGATGATGGCCACCATAGCAAGCAGGAAAAGGACGATGCCTGCCACAAGCAGCCCCGGTGTTGCAAACGCTGCCGCTGCTGCTGCTGCTGTTGATGATGACGACCCCAGAGGCGGAGCAATAGACAAGGGGCCAGGCGGAGGCGGCGATGAAAACGTGTGAAAGACAGGCGACCCTGGTTGCCATGTTATCGTGTCATGAGCGGGCCTTGGCCACCAAGTGGTTGTCCCAGAAGAAGGTGGCGGCCCTGTATGCTCCTTTGCTGGTGGAGGTGGCGGCGGCCCAAACCTCCTTGGTCGCCAAGTGGTTGTCCCGGAAGAAGGTGGCGGCCCTGTATGCTGCTTTGCTGGTGGAGGTGGGTGCTGCTTTGCTCCTCCTCCGTGGCTGTGCTGCTTTGCTGCTCCGTGGCTTGCTGGTGGCGGTGGCGGACTGTGCTGGTGCTGCTTTGCTGCTCCGTGGCTTGCTGGTGGAGGTGGCGGACTGTGCTGGTGCTGCTTTGCTGCTCCATGGCTTGTTGGTGGCGGACTGTGCTGGTGCTGCTTTGCTGCTCCGTGGCTTGCTGGTGGAGGTGGCGGACTGTGCTGGTGCTGCTTTGCTGCTCCATGGCTTGTTGGTGGCGGACTGTGCTGGTGCTGCTTTGCTGCTCCGTGGCTTGCTGGTGGAGGTGGCGGACTGTGCTGGTGCTTCTTTGCTGCTCCGTGGCTTGCTGGTGGAGGTGGCGGACTGTGCTGGTGCTTCTTTGCTGCTCCGTGGCTTGCTGGTGGAGGTGGCGGACTGTGCTGGTGCTTCTTTGCTGCTCCGTGGCTTGTTGGTGGCGGACTGTGCTGGTGCTTCTTTGCTGCTCCATGGCTTATTGGTGGAGGTGGTGGTGCTCCATGGCTGTCCTGCTTTGGAGGTGGTGCTCCTCCATGGCTGTGCTGCTTTGCTGCTCCATGGTGTTGCTCTGCTGGTGCTGGTGGAGGTGCCTGACTGTGGGCGCTGCTGTGAGGTGGCGGAGCTCCTCTGGCCCTCCTTGGCGATGGTTTGGGGTTCGGCATGCTACCTGGAGGTGGCACTCTCGTTTTGGGCGGTGTCGCGCTCCTGTGCCCTGGACGAGGCGGATGCACGCTCCTGTGCGCAGCTGGAGGCGGCGCCCGACGAGGCGGAGACGACGGCGGCACACTCCGACGGATGATGCTAGCCATATTTCTTGCTTACCGGATTCGCTTCCGAGAAACCTTTTTTTTAGGTCATGAAGGTTTAGTGCATATAAATGATTCTCGTACGGACGCATTATCTGCAGCGCTTTAAAGTTATGATGTCCAGTTTTTGCGATCATGATGGAAGCAATATCACTGTTCGGAATCTCTTTCTTTCATTAGCACATAATGCTCATTTGGTTCTTCCCCCAAAAAAACCGGAGCTCGTTGATAAACTCTCAGGCTCAATTCTAGGAGGAAGAGCAAAGATGAGAATGGTCGTTCACCACGATGCAATGCTCCGTGCGTAAGAATTTGATCAAAATCTCCACTCTGGAAGCTCATGTTCTTTGAAAATTCTTTTCATTGCGTTTTAGGCATCAAAGATCGTGTATTGTGACCTTATCGACACACACAAAAGACATAGCAATGGTTTTTATAGTTGAATTTGCTTTGATGGTGATTCTCAGAATCACTCTTCAATGGGCACATGGATCAGGTATGCCTGGGGTTGATGTTTACTATTTGATCATAGTAAATAACAACTTAAATTACCACTATATTTATAGCTTCATTTTTGGACTTAAAATTTAGTCGTACTACATATTTTTTTGTTTATAACTATTATAATTGACTTAAAATTTAGTCACAATTAACTACTAAACATAACGACTATATTTTTTGTTTTATAACCATTATAAATGACTTAAAATTTAATCATAAATTGGAACTGCAAATGTCAACTTAAGAAATTTTCTAATTCTGACTTTAAAGCTAGTAAGAAATAATGACTACTACAAATAACTGCATACTTTAACTTAAATTTATAAAACTATTGTGCTTTAAATTGTAGTTACAATATCAATGAAAAGCTTAATGACAAAAACTTAAGTTGTATAGCAAATTAATGCAATAACTTAAAACTAAGTCGGGCTCGTGTAGTAATGGACAATCTTGTTTGTGTCAGGCACATTCTACAACAATGAGCCAACTGCCTGATTGGGGGAGGATGATGCTAGTTCGAAAGGAGTACCCCCAGTCAGGATCAAGATCACCCAGTAGGAGCTTGATGCTTCATATTGGATTGTTGTCAATGTCCAGCACTGGCTGCTGAGCCCAGGTAAGCTTGATGTTACTGGGAACTCATACTCAATTGGGAGTGTCCAGCCCTGGCCATTGAGCTTGTGACACATAATCAATGCCAAAATTCTTCCACACATACGCGATCCTGCCATAGACACCTTGCTTGATGTTTGTGGAGAAGATGTTGTAGACGTGGAAGAAGGCCTTGGCGAGGGACTTGGAATCCATGGCCTGCTTAACGTCTGGGGTGACATAGCACAACCCATCATCAGCTGAGAGGAAGCTAAAGAACCATAGCCAAACACTCACCTAGAACTTGGGGACAGCCATGAATGAGGATATGACGCTCCTTCCTGAGTGGTAGGATGATTTTCAAAGTAAAGGAAACACTTTACTGACAAGCACAAATTCTCACATCATGATGAAACAAGAAGAGCTCAATCAATGACCTATGATAACAAGATCGCTGGAACAAGAAGTTAGTATGTATATTCCAAAATACCCGATCCTTGTGATGGCCAAAAGTGTCATAATAAAAATTTAGAAGACCTTGAATGAGCAAATATATGCAGCTTTTGTTGGATTTGATGGGGACACATTTAGCATGAGAAAAGTGAAGAATATTTAGAGCTAAATCATCGTCAATGCTCCACATATAACAATACTAATGATAAAACAAAATGACAAACTCATATAGTTGGCAAAAACAAGGAGCAGTGAAAGAAGCACTCCTTTTTTTGGCACTTGCAATGTTTTTCTAGAAAGAACAATAGAACTCCTTGCAAGGTAATCAGACTATATTCAGAAAGTAATAAACTCCAAAACACCACAAACTTGTAAGTGAGTACTCTTTTCTTGATCAATAGTACACAAAATTCTCCTATAGCTTGTTTGTTCATACTCTAGGAAAGCTACCTACATTAACATAGCTAAAGAGAGAAGTACCCAAGCAAAATACTCATTGCAAGGCCCTAGTCATTGTACACTTTCTTCACCTCCTTGATACAGGCATTGTCTTTTTTGCCATAATTGCTCTTTAGTCTTGCTTTCTAGCTAGCATCTACTAGTTCAATAGCTCTTGGATATTTGTTCCAACCTGGACTATTCAATGAGCTTGACATGAAGGACAAAACAGCAAGGAACCAACCTTGCCAATAATGTTAGGATGTTTATAGCAATCTAAGAAATCATTTTGCAGGGGCCAATTCCATCAACAACCAAAGGTAATGAACCACAAGGACCTGAATTTAAAAATAGGTTCCCATTTGTAGTAGTATTTGCTTCACAGATTCAAACTTGGAGTTGTCACTCTTGTCTGACATATACAAAGCACAAGCAACATGTATTCTCATATGACTTCAATGACTTGGTTTATAATGTAACTCTTGCTTGCCGGAAGATAGAAAGAATAAAACACTGTCTTGAACTTCACAATCCTGAGATAGTTGCATAGACAAACATTATGGATATTTATGGAATCGAATAAAACTTACATTTCCATCATGTATTTGGACAAATCAAAGTAGTACCACTGACCAACTTCCTCAAAATCCTAGGTACATGGTTTGTAAGCAATAATGCATTATTCACAGCAATGATACCCACCTAATCACAAAGGAAGACTGTATCACAGCTCATCAATAAAATTCACGTATTGTTGTGTGAATCATCCATTATATTATCCATTATTAAGAAGTAAGTTTGCAACTATACATAGAAAAGCAAAAGGCAGAAACCAAAACTATTTAGAAATTCTTTACTAATTGATGCAAGAATTTACCCATTCAATACACCATCCAGGAGCAAACACTTGTTTGATTTCATCTCGGGAGAGCTCATCTTTGGGCTTGAGTAACACCAAATTGTTAATCATTGAGAGACCTTGATTTAACTTTCTAAATATTTCTATAATTTTGTCCACTTCTAAAAGAAAAACACACTTCTAAGAGCTTTAAAAACTACTTTTTGTTATTTGTAAAATAAGATTGGCATTATTAATCTATATATGTCAAACTATTTACTGTTGCAGTAAGAAAAGAACTCATAATGAGTATCATTTTTTAGAATAGTATGGTAGTTTCTCCCTCCTTAGGTTCTAGAAAGGATATTGAAAATATAGTAAACATGAATTGCAATGTGATTCACTCCAAGCCTACATAAAGAACAATTAAATGGTTATAAATACTATGAAAAGAATACCATTTCATTAGTTTCCTCTGTCTTCATCTAGCAAAAGATGTTGAGAGTTAATAAGTGAAAAATATTATGAAAAATTAAATCACTTACACTAGGGAGTGGGTTATTCATTAGCTCATCTTTGTCTTGAATAGCCCTTATGCAACACTTATGCCAATACATCTCCTAAAATGTCTAGTTTTTGAGAAATAAAATAAAATTTAAATACCTTTTTTTAGTGTCAAGGACATGAAATGCCATCCTAAAAAGAATCAACATTGTAAATAAATAGAACCAATTTATGGTTGCTTAATCAGCTTGGTAAGACTTCCAATTGTTGCTAATGCATAGGTAAAGTTGGTAGGAAATCCTGAAAATGCTTTGAGTACTTTTTGCCCCTCGAAGTTTGTGTTGCATTTCTTGGTTATCACTCAACTTAGTGTGCTTTATTGGCAAGTGGATTCTACAACTATGAGCAACTAGTGCTATTGTATTTGTAGAGTGTTTTTATTGCCTATGAGCCCACTTTTTGCCGCATACTTGCTCCTCCTTTGGCTTTTCCGCTTCTTCGAGATTTTTTAATGTTTGGATTGCATCCTCTATTCTTGTTTTGAAGCTCTAAAATGTCCCACTCTCAATCTTCTTGAGGAAGTCTAATAACACTCTAACCACACAAACACTTGTAATGTAATTGTGCAATCCCCCAACATAGCCCTTTCAATCTCATTAGGGTTGGAGAAAACATTTATAGCCATCTTTATACAGTTATTTAGTTTACAACATGTTAAAATTGTGTGGATATTGTAGTGGATGCAATGGTAAATTTTAGCAATATATATAAAATAAAATAAAAAACACCTGTAAACACAACTAATATGTTAGATATGTAAGGTCATAAGTTGGATTTTCTCCATAAACTTTATAGCCTTGGAGAAGAGTAAATGATTCTTACCTAGCTTAAACAACCAAATATTTTTGGTGGAGTAAACATAATAATAAATGAAAGAAAAGAAAGAAAGTAAAGTGCCTATAACATTTTATATTCTATACTTTTCTGATGTTGCCTATAAACCCAACACCAAAAAATATTGCAAATTGAACTATTTTTCTCCTCTACCTCTACTATGAACTCATGAAGTGAGGACTTAAAAACTACATGGAAAACTAATTTTATAACTATATCATGGTAGCACTAAAAAAGTTTATTTCACTTCCAATTTTATAAGTATGCTTTGAAAGAATCAATGTTATACATGGCTGAAAAACCATATGCATGTGAGATTGTTACAAAAAAGTGGTAAAAAGTAAATAATTTTTAAAAAAAAATCATTTATAAAAATTAACTATATTTTGCAAAAATTTATTCTGAGAATAAATGTGAAAATTAAAAAATAATCAAATCTTTCTGTATAATCAATTTAATCTCAGTTACTTTTTTTTTAACTTTTATATACCACCATTGGAACCATACCATCTTTGGTTTGCTTAAGCAAACGGTAGGGGGACTGAAATGGTAGTGAATAAACATAGAATATGCTTGAATATTCTAGAATATTCTACCATCTAACAGTTGTTATTTATTTAGATTAATCTTATAATTTATAAACATGTTTATAATTTATAAACTTTCTTAAACACTTTTTAGTATATTCTTTTTTCTTCTACTGCAATAAGATTAATATTGTGTTTTATAAATATGACTATAACTTTAAATTTGTATTTAATCAATTGGATTAATAAGTAAGAATAATACTACTATTAAGCAAAGTAAATATTGCTACATGCAACGCATAGCAAATTTTTGTGACAGCTACCTGAAACCGATATAAAAACAAAAAAAAAACAATGTATGGAAAGAAAACTAGTGTTGTGGTTAAGCTTGAGCATCTTTAGTAAGGAGATATAGTACTCACTTCCATGACAAAGATAGCCTCCTTGACAGCCTCGAGGGAGATGGCACAGGCTCCTCTGGAGGCAGCAGCCATTGCCAAAGGGTACTACTGTTGACTTCCCAGCCAAGATGAGAGCCAACTGCAAAGATTTCCTGCTCGAGAGCATCCTGAGATGCAAATCTTACTATCCTCTGGTGAGGCTCAAGGGGGACTTCCAGCAGCACTACACTGGATCACGTGTGGTATGGCTTCAAGAAGCTGGAAACTTTCCTGGACTTTGCTGGAGCTGCTCATAGGCATTTGGACGGGGTCGGGTGGCCAGAAGCTTCTCCACTTGAAGGAGTTGGAAGATAACAAGATCAAGGGCAAGGACAACATCAAGAACAGGTGCTTCTGTTCTTGACGAGGAGGAGGAGCTTGACGAGGTTGCAATGACTCTGGAACCAGAGGAAGAAAAGAAGAAGAAAGAAAAGGCAATGGTGGATGTGAAGAAGTGGAAGAAAGCTACCACGGCTAGTGTCCAGGAAACATGGAAAGCCCAGACTCCCGCAAGCAATGCCAAGGCGCAAGGAGTGAACAAGAGTAGAAGCAGTGGCAAGCTCAAGATGGGGGGTGGAAAGCTAAGCGTGCAGCTCCCACCTTGTTTGAGGCTGAGAGTAGCCTCGCTTTCAAGACCTCCAATCCATTATCCATGATGAATTGATTGATTATCATGGTGTGACTTGAGTTGCTAATTTTCGTTAGTACAGTGGACTAACGCTGACTACTATCAGCAATGCTATCCCATTACTGTTCTAATGAGCTCATTCTAATGAATTCATTGATGTGCTTATAAAGCTGGTAAATAATTAGTGACTATCGTTGACTGCTATGACTACTATAACCTACTACTTACGATAAGAAATGTTATTGAAAGTTTATATTTTTAAAAACAGGAAATTAAATGTCCAATGTTGTTTGAGACTTGCAATATAATCCCCCAATTCAATAGCTCTCTGTTGTCTTAATGAAAAGTTATTGTCTTGTTGCCTTGTTTGAAACTTGCAAATCATAATCTCCTGATTCAAATGCCTCCAGACTTCTCCATCTGTTATAATTTTGATTGAATACCACGGACCTGCCTTTGCCTGTTCCGGTTTAAAAAAACCGAAGTGATTTGTTTCATGAATCTTCATTCTGTGCCTGCAACCTCAAGCATATCATCAGTCCAAAACGACCGAAAAGCGTACCTCCTTTCGCTGTAAGCTCCGTCGAGCTCAAGCTTAACCTCCAAGGTGGAAGGCTAGTTCAAGCAGAAGTTATACTTTAACTCGAGGCATGGAGACTGTTTACCTTGGCATCTGAGTCGTGTACACAAGCAGCCAAATGCGAACCTCCAGAATTGGCCGAGTGATTTGCCTCAACCACGGGCTTCTCCAGATTCTCCACCTCACGGATCCTAAAAGTGCTCCATTAGTCACTTGTTCTATCTCTCAAGCATGAAGACTTACCTGTGGGAGTGCTTGTTGCCGGGCCTCCTCATCCCAAACTCGGTGATCCTTTGCATGTGCTTCTCCATCTCAACTTGCTTCTCCGCTGCTGCCGCGAGCCGAACAACGAAAGCATCTCCAGGATCGAACACAGTGCCACGATGAGACACTGGATCCAAAGCCTGTTCCTGGGCTCTTCGATCATTGCCGCTCCGACGAGCAGCACTCGACAAGAATGGATCCTCCGGGAGAGAAGCTCTTGGCACCTTCTTGTGCTCGTCGACTCCGTGGATCGCTGCTGGTGGATCTCGTCCCAATGGCGGCGTCAGGCGGTCGTCAACCGAATCGGTAGCAGCACCATAGATTGGATTCGTCTTGAGAAAAGCCGAAGGTGGCAGCCGCCTGGAGGCCTCGCGAGTGGAGGACTGGGCACCTTTGTGCTGGGATTTGATAACATGGCAACCAGGGTCGCCTGTCTTTCACACGTTTTCATCGCCGCCTCCGCCTGGCCCCTTGTCTATTGCTCCGCCTCTGGGGTCGTCATCATCATCAACAGCAGCAGCAGCAGCAGCGGCAGCGTTTGCGACACCGGGGCTGCTTGTGGCAGGCATCGTCCTTTTCCTGCTTGCTATGGTGGCCATCATCACTGGCATCTGGATACTCGTGAAGGGAAGAAGAAAGAAGGCGAATGACATCCTGGTGCGCTACGTCGGGAGCAGCCATCTTCCTGGCGGTGGCAGCAGCAGCAGCGGCAGTCAGCGAGAGTATCTCGTTCCCTTGAGCAAGATTGAGGACGCAGAGCTCCGGGACAAGCTCAATTCCTTCGTTCAAGAGAGGAGCAAGCAGCACCTTCGACCGTCGCAGCTGTGTCATGAGCGGGCCTTGGCCACCAAGTGGTTGTCCCAGAAGAAGGTGGCGGCCCTGTATGCTCCTTTGCTGGTGGAGGTGGCGGCGGCCCAAACCTCCTTGGTCGCCAAGTGGTTGTCCCGGAAGAAGGTGGCGGCCCTGTATGCTGCTTTGCTGGTGGAGGTGGGTGCTGCTTTGCTCCTCCTCCGTGGCTGTGCTGCTTTGCTGCTCCGTGGCTTGCTGGTGGCGGTGGCGGACTGTGCTGGTGCTGCTTTGCTGCTCCGTGGTTTGTTGGTGGCGGACTGTGCTGGTGCTTCTTTGCTGCTCCATGGCTTGTTGGTGGAGGTGGTGGTGCTCCATGGCTGTCCTGCTTTGGAGGTGGTGCTCTTCCATGGCTGTGCTGCTTTGCTGCTCCATGGTGTTGCTCTGCTGGTGCTGGTGGAGGTGCCTGACTGTGGGCGCTGCTGTGAGGTGGCGGAGCTCCTCTCGCCCTCCTTGGCGATGGTTTGGGGGGCGGCATGCTACCGGTGTCGCGCTCCTGTGCCCTGGACGAGGCGGATGCACGCTCCTGTGCGCAGCTGGAGGCGGCACCCGACGAGGCGGAGACGACGGCGGCACACTCCGACGGATGATGGTAGCCATATTTCTTGCTTACCGGATTCGCTTCCGAGAAACCTTTTTTTTAGGTCATGAAGGTTTAGTGCATATAAATACCTTATCTGCCAGTTTTTGCGATCATGATGGAAGAAATATCACTGTTCGGAATCTCTTTCTTTCATTAGCACATAATGCTCATTTGGTTCTTCCCCCAAAAAAACCGGAGCTCGTTGATATTCTAGGAGGAAGAGCAAAGATGAGAATGGTCGTTCACCACGATGCAATGCTCCGTGCGTAAGAATTTGATCAAAATCTCCACTCTGGAAGCTCATGTTCTTTGAAAATTCTTTTCATTGCGTTTTAGGCGTCAAGAGAACTGCTGGCCCTTTTGATCCAGCATCATCGGGGAGCCAATGAGGTAGTCGGCTCCATCATCGGCCGCAGCGCCACGCTCGTCTCGCCCAGCGGCCGCTACAAGGCGAGAATGCAGCGTGACTGTAACTTTGTGCTCTTCGGCACTTACCGTGACATGAACAAGGTGATGTGGGCCGGTAAGGACACCGGATGCTCCCACTGCCTAGAAACATTTTGCCCCATTTTCCACATGATTGAGATTCCAAATCTGATATTTACCTGGATGGTCACGCCTAGCTCAACTTCTTTTTGCACTGGGTATTTACGTTGGAGTTATAATTATTTACTTATTGTAAAGTCTACAAAATAAATACACTAGTTATGGTATAAGTAGCTTTTTAGGGTTCTTGGGATTTTATTAGGTTGCCCATACCAGGAATATTCGTAAGCTCTTCATTGATTCTGTTTCCCAGAATATTCTTTGTGCGTTTTGGACATTCCTTGCCTTCTAGCGCGCAATCTGGCGCTTGGCCTGATCAATCTGTCCCAGCGATTCATCCGGGGCGCGCTGCTCGTCACTCCCGAGCTTCTCCTGCGCGGATCGCACGAGCCCTCCAGCCGCCTCGTCGTGCTCCCGGGCTACCTCGTTTGGTTGCGAGGCATGGTGCTTGCCCGAAAGCCCCTTCTTGGCGCCCTCGAATTCGTCCTTGAGCATAGCCTTGGCGTCGTCCAGGCCGCTCCGTCCCTCGCCCTCATCGTCACCTGCGCTGCCGGATTTCGCTTTCTCTGCCTGCTCATATTTCTCTTTGAGGGCCTGCTGCGCGGCGTCTAGGGGCGTTCCAACCTCGGACAGCTCCCTGCATTAAACGAGGGATCAAACAAGAGAAAGAATCACTCTCCCTGATAGATCATTGATCACACAAGAGCTCGATAACTCACTCGGAGGAGTTGAGATCTCCAATCCGCTACGTACGCAAAGACGCGATTGTCGTCAAACAACACAAAGACAAATCAAAAGGATCTTACCTCGCCTGACGACATGATCGCACCGATTGATCCAGAGAAAGAGAGAGCCGCAACGAAAGTTTATGCTGTTCGATCGAACTGGTTGGCTGAGCGACACTTGGTTTACACCACGTGTCTAGCACAGATGACTTTTATTGACCAAAGACTATTGAGCATGCTAAATTAGCTTATATATACCGAATGTATCTCGCCCCACCGGAGAAATGTCTAGGTTAGACCAAGAGAGAGTGACTTTCCAGTGGAGTTTCGATTCGGGGAGAGATCTGGTGCTTCTTTCGCACTGGAGAAGAGAGAGCTTTGGGGGAGCGATGGAGGTGCAAGCAGCTGGCCATGGTGTTGCAATGGTTTTAAAGAGGGTAGGACAATCGCTGGGCATGGACTCGGTTATCTGTTTGCGTAGTATAAATCTGTGAACACAGTTTGCTTGTTGGTAGGAATGGGGCAGTTTAGCTTGGCGACAGTTTCTTGTCTAACAGAATGACCTCCGAGAAGTGCAAAAGACTTTGTACCAGGTCCGATGCCCATGACCTTCATAAACAGTTAACTATTTATCTGTTCTGGGATCAAATGGCAGTCCTAACTTAGAACCCCAGGATACCCACCTATGGCTACCAGGCATAAGCGAACCTGGCATACCTTTATTGGTTCTAGAAAAATGTTCAAATGCCAGGTAAGCAATAATACCTTGTTTTTCAAATTAATAGAGTAATACTTAGTTTAGAATATTTGTAACAAATCTGGGTCAATCCAGCCTTTGGCAGCCGTCAGATTAAATCAGGCCACGTTCTCTGCGAGAACGTGGCTCACAACTGCCAGGTTCTCCAGAACCCAACTGCCAGCTGCCAGTTCTGGAGAGAACCCTCTCATCCTCAAATAACATTATTCCACGTGTCCGTTAGCAGTAGGCCGTTCCTTAGTCGTTCTGGAGAACCCAGCTGCCAGCTAGGTTCTGACAACCCTTTCATCCTCAAATAACATTATTCCACGTGTGCGTTAAGAGTCTTGCCACAGCCCGTTAAGGCTGTGGCTCGCCTGTTCTGGACAGGAACTCCTTTTTCATACACAATTATCTAGAACTATACAGCTCATGTCACATATTTTTATTGCCAGCTATGTAATAATACAAGTTCTTCAGACCCACGTCACATACTTAAATACGTAAGCAATTCAGCCAGATGTTCTATTGGATATTCTGACTGGAATTATATGTTAAAAGAGCGTAAGCGTGAAAAACGTGTGAGCTAACAAACAAAACAGCCACTGTTGGCATCGACGACTCATTGATGCTACATAAACTGCGAGCAAGAGAGTTTCTCAAACCAAGTCCTCTCTTTTCTAGCTTGGAGGAGAGTGAGAGTTTACAAAGTCTAGCTAGATACTTGGTTACTCGAGTGCTTGCTCAGCTAGTTCTTAGAAAAGCAGCCGCTCGCAAGCTTTTTAAGAGTTCTCTGTCTAGATACTTAAAAGCGTGGCTACAGCGAGAGCGAGTGTTACCTTAGAATCGATCGAAAGCTTCGCTTACCCCGAATGGCTCTAGCTGCGAAGTGGCGATCCGTCCAAGGTCAGGATCACTGGGAAGGCATGCTGGAGCCTCTGGACAAGGACCTGTGCCAGGAGCTCATCCGCTACGCGCAGTTCATCCAAGTGGTCTACGACTCGCTCAACAAGAACCCCGTCTCCAAGGCCAATGGCCTGCCGCGCTATGCCAAGTCGGAGCTCTTCGACAAGCTTCACGTCAAGGCCAATTACACCATCCGGAACTTCTTCTACTGCACCACCGATCTCGAGACTCTGCTGGGCAAAGTCGTAGAGACCGTCCTCGACTTCACGGACCCAAACACTTCTTGGTTTGGATACGTTGCCGTGTCGGACGACGAAGAAACTCGGAGGCTCGGCCGGAGGGACATCATCGTGGTCTTTCGAGGCACGCAGCAGGACATCGAATGGGCCAGCAACATACTTAACTCGTTCCACGGCCAGATAGGCAAGCCGGAGCCTAAGTCCGGCCTTCCACCGCTCCAAACTCCGACTTCTACTCCCACAGGGTTCCTGTCCGGCCTCACCAACATTCAGCTTCCCTGGGAGAAGGTCCTTATCGCGAACCGCTGGCTGGCACCTTACACCGGGAAGAACCCCCAGGAGCCTCTTGGTTTCGGGAAGAAGTCGGCCAGAGAGCAGATCTCCGCGGCTGTGACCTCGCTCCTCAACGAGTACAAGGCCGAGGAGATGAGCATCACTGTCACCGGACACAGCCTCGGTGCGTCACTGGCGACTGTTTGCGCGTATGATATCGCCAATGAGAAGTTGAACGTGAATCCTTCCACGAAGAAAGTCATCCCCGTCACTTGTTTCCCTTTCGCTTCTCCTTACGTTGGCAACGAGGAGTTCAAGACCGCTGCCGAGAAGATCGAAGGCCTCCGGATCCTGAGAGTGACCAACATCTGGGACCTGGTTCCAAAGGTGCCACCGCTGCTCTGGGGATACAGGCACGTCGGGATAGAGCTCACCATCGATACTTCCAAGTCGAGCTATCTCAAGTTTCCGACCACGGACCCTTTCGATCACCACAATCTTCAAGCGCATTGCCATCTCGTCGGTAACAAAGTGGAGCCGCTCAAGTACCACCACTTAGAGCTTGTGAACAAATCGTCCAACCTCTTGAAGGATTCTTTAGTTCCCGGTAACTGGTGGGTGGTGGAGAACACCGACGTTGTGGTGAACGAGGCTGGGCGATGGGCACTCAAGGAGTACAACATCAGTGCGGACAACAACGAGTATAACTGAGAGAAGAAAGTGAGGTTTTTTCAGTGGTGTGCTATACAACAATAACTGGAATAATGCTCAGAAATAAAAAATCAGAAGTGTTTGGCTGTTCCTTGCAAAGCCCATGTGAAGGGGCTTTATAAAAAATGACCATTGCTCACTGTGATGAAAATATCTCCTACGAGTTTTTTGGGAGATCTTCTTCTTCCTTTTTCACGCCTGCACACAATTCTTGCAGAAATGTATTTTAAAAGCGACACACCTGTCTTGCAGAGTTTTTTTTATCTTTGGAACTTTTCATATCATGCTGGCACCAGCATCCTATCCTGAAATACTTCCAGATCTTTATGAAGGAGGTGCAAAACAAAAACAAGAAAAACAAAAACAAGGCAAGAGAGAACCACAAACAAAAGAAAAACCAACAAAAAAAAAAATGTATTCATAGTTTTTTTATGAATTATATTAAAAATAGAAATTTTTAATAAAAAGCGTTGATATTTTTATATAGGGGTTTTTATATAATATTCTACACTCCTTTGAGTGTCCTGGTACTAAACCTCAAACCATTCTCAAGGTTGGATTCTCATCTTCTTGGGAGGTGCTTCTCCAAAAGGCAACCATGCAGTGAATCCATTAGGTACAAGCTCTTGATCTAACCTATTTTCCTCCTCCCATAAGAACATCGTGAAACAGGTCGATAGATCTAACTGTGCTGCTTAGGTTTGCTCTTTCAGTCTCTCTCCAGCCTGATATGAATCAGTAGTCAAGCCTTGAGCATCATGCTCCAGTCAGTCAGCCATCTTCTTCACTCTCAGTGCGTCTCCAAGTATTCCTGGATTGGGAGTTCAGATGAGAGCTTTGGTTTCTTCCTCTCTTCGTCCCCAAGATACTTCGACTTTTCTTTATTTCAAGAGCTCTACTGACCATTGTGGCTTTCAAGCCTCTTGGAAGCCATTTACGTTTGAAAGTGTCTATTGCTAGTGAATTAGAGAAGAAAGAGATAATCAGCAAGAATGAAAACTTCTTTTATTCCTGTTATCCATTTTGGCCTTGTATGCCTTTTCCACACTTTGCCTCTCTTTCCTTCCTCTTGTTGTTCTCAAGGATCTACTAACATTCTCAAAATGTAAGAGCTTGATAGCTTACTTTAAGTTCATTTAGGCACCGAACACCTCAACATAGTTGCATTCCCTCTCACATATTTTCTTGTGGTGCTCCAAATCGTATATCATCGTTGTCAAAACCTGAGAGGAGGACAACATACAGTCAACGTTCATACATCACAAGCCAAAACTCTAGAAAAGTCAAGGCCTTAATATAGAATATAAATAACCAGCTTTAAGTATTAAAAAACCATAAAATCCTAATCAATACAAACCAGATATAGAAAATCGAGCTTAAAGAAAAAACGTAAGCTTGCTCCATAGCACAGCTGGAATTTGCTTTGCTGGATTATTTTTCCAAACAGTAGTTACCACGGGTTTTGAAATTAAAAATATTGAGAAAAAGTGCAATTTGCAATTTATTGCAAAATTCCCACTTTATCAAGAACTGCTCGCTCAAGAAAGTCCTGGCATCTGTAAAATTATCATATCATATTGGATTATTAGTATGTCTCCCACACATTTTTATCTAGCAGCAGTACTGTCTCCGACGGTAGTAGCATTTCTTGGGGCACTCTGGTGCATTAGGATGAACTCTGGCCGTCCCCTTCGTCATAGTTGTCACGGTGGGGAGGTCCACTCTTGCAGTGGCAGGGCCAAAGGCAGCGAAGGCCAACACCAGCAGCAGCATCAACTTCATCATCAGGGCAACCTTCTTTGCCATCTCTCCAAGCAACTCCTTCCTGTGTTAAGATCAACTCTTGAAAGAGCACTGCTTTCCTGGCTGCGTTTATATACCTTGTCAAGTTAGTGGGCTTGGAATATTGTTGACAAAGTACACCGCAGACTAGTCATAATATTCCAAACCCACTAAGGTGACGAGGTGTCGTTTAAGAGACGTGCACGATTCTGAACACAGGATTCAAAATTGTTTTCTTTCCAAAATGTGAGCGTTCGATTCAGCAATGAAGTCGAAAGATTTGAGAAGAATGTACAATAATCCAGCATCTGGGAATGCTGAGGTAAGATTTGAGAAGAATGTACAATAATCCAACATCAAACTGTCTGGGAATGCTGCGGCATTGTTGTAAAACATGATCAAGGAAATCACACCTTTCTGCGCACGCGAAATATTTAAAAAAAAATTAAAATTCCATTAATACATTTAACAGTTAAGTCCCTCCTTAAACCCTAAACTCTGAAACCTTAGAACAGTTAAGGCTACTCGTAGTCGGCCGACTTATCCAGCGGGGGCGTGAGCATCCCAAACGGGATCCTCCTCGAGTGCTTCCTCCTGCGCGTGATTCCCTGCGGCGCCACCAGCGCCTCCGCCCTGAGGCTCGCCACCGACACCCTCCCCGCCATCATCTCCAAGTAGTGCTCGAAGCACAGCGGGAACGACTTCCAGTCGTAGACGGAGTGGAGCGTCCCCACCCGGACAACCTCCATCCATTCCTCGCCCGACACCTGAATCCTCTTGAGCACCTTGTGGACGCGCATCAGGTACATGTCGATCATCCCGCTGTAGCATCCGATCACCGAGCAACACTTGCCTCGCAGGAACTGCCGGCTCATTCTCGTCAGCACCACGAACAGGAGATTGTCCCCGCACTTGGTATCGTGGCTCACCAGCGGCGGGACCAAAAACTTCTTCCCCATGTTGCGCAGGTCCGACTCGGTGGGGAAGAACGAGGCCAGGTTGCCGTCCAGCCCGACCACCTTGATGTCGTTGGAGAAGGACTTCCGGATGTTCCTGCTCGACGACTTGTGCTTGGCGGCCAGCGAGAAGATGAGCGACCAGCGCAGGTGGTAGTCGACCGTCTTCTTCACAAACGCGAAGTTGTCGCAGCAGCGGTAGTAGTCGAGCCAGCGGTACGCCAGCCCCGAGTACCAGTGCAGGATGGCGATGTCCTCCTGCGCTAGCAGCATCCGGAAGTGCGTCGGCCTCCCACCTTTCGTCACGATCTCTCGCAGCCGCAGCTTGTCCACCAGTTCCATGATCGGCATGATCACCAGCAGCCGCAGCTCGTCCGCCTTCTTCACCTTGATCGGTGGCGGGTTTCCGGTCGATCGGGCCTCCTTCTCCGCTGCCAGCCGCTCCATCTTCTCCTGCTTCTGCTTCAGCCTCGCGTTGACGCCCCCCTCAGCGCTCACCGAGTAGTCGAGCTGGCCCAGGAACTTGTCCACCTCTTCCTGGAACCTGTCGAACGCCGCGATGAGCTCCTTGGGTAGCTGCTCGCGGATCCAGGGGCTCATCAGTATGTGGCCTTTCCGGAACTTCTCGCGGATCATCAGCCTCTCCTCCTCCCTCTCGCTGCTCAGGAATCCCCGGACCATGTCCCCCGCAACGCTCTCGAACATACGCCGGACCGTCGCGTCGCCCTGGCTCTCCGACGACGCGTTCTTCCTCGAGCGGGTGTATATCTCCACAAGCATCTCAGCGCCCAGCTTCCGAACAACCGCATCGTAGTGGTGCTTCATCTGCCGCTTCACCATCTCGATCCGGTTCTCCACCGCTCGCATCGACTGGATGCACGTCTGCTTCCGGAACTCGGGCATCTTGGAGGGAGGAACGAACTGGAGCTGGAAGCCAAGGAAGTCACACTGGTTGAGGGTGGCGTCCATCAGCGTCTTCCGGCCCCGCTCCACCTCCGCCACCAGCTTCTCGTTCACGTATACGCACAGCTCGTGCTGGACCGTGAGAGCAATCTCCTTCTGGCCCGACACAGCCAGCAGCACCTCGTCGCCATAGCGGCATGCATACAGCCTGATCTTGCGGTCGGCCGGGTCGTCGCTCTCCTCGGCGGGCGTGTTGGGAGCTGACTCTTCAGTGATTCCAATATCAGCATCCGGGACTGAGGCCCTCGCAACTTTCACTTCCTCAGGCTCCTCCGGGTTCATGCTTGCCACCCCCTCCGCCACCTCTTGGATCTTCCAGTCAAGCTTGTCCAAGTAGATGTTGAGAAGCATCGGCGAGAGGATGGGCTCCTTACAGAAGTCCTCCCAGTGGAGATTCCCCATGTCCATCTGGAAGACGCGGGCACGGAAGAGCTGCCGGAGGAAAGCTATGAGCCTGCTGTCTTCGATGGTTTCCTCAAGGATGGCCACCAGCACGTCGAAGTTCTCGAGCGTGAAGTGCCGCTCCAGCTTCATCTTGATGAACCAGTCAAAGTACTTCCAGCGATACTTGATCAGCCTCATAGCCATATGCCTCCCTCTTCCGGGCCTGGAAGCAAACGAAAGGCTGGAGAACCGCGGCTCGTAAACTTCCTGAAGCGCCATCCGGGTGGCCTCCATGGCGATCTTGGTCTTGAGATTGGGAAGAACCAGCGAGCGAGTGGAGTTCTCCTTGGAAGAGACGAGGACCTCCACGCAGTTGGCCTTGACGTCAAACGTCCCAATCGCCAAGTCCCTGGACATGTGCTCTATCACCTCCCGGCTAATCCCATCGGCCTCCATTTGCTTGGCCTCGTTTCCCAGGAGAGGCCCCGAGCGCTTCTTGATAGAATTGTAAGCGGCCATTAGATTGCTGGGAGTAGCTACTACATTCCTCATCAACAATCGATACTTACCGTCCACGAAGATCCCGTCCACGCCCTGCCGGAACCTCTCCTGGTCCACGTCCTGGAAGAGCGAATTCACCTCCCTGGCGATGAGCGCTCTGTTGCTCGGCTCCTCCTCCACGGCGGCGGCCGCTGACCAGGCCGATCGATGCGGCGCGGCACTGGCGCCGACCCAGCAGCGGCGCCATGGCGCTGCCCGCCCCGCGCGTTGCAGCATTGCATTGTCCTAAAGCCCTAAACCCCTTTCCTCGCTCCCATTTTTAGGGTTCTTCGTATTTTCACTCGCTGACCAAGAGGATCTTGCCCGGGGAGGCCTGCAAATCAAATCCTGGCAGCGTTGGAGCGGAGTTTCAACGATCTTGAGGCGCGTACCTTGGCGAGGCTCCTGCGGATGGCATCGTCGTAGCGCTCCAGCGGGAATTTCTCGCCCACGAGCGGCTCCATGATCTTGCCCTCGAGGAGCTTCATCACGGTGGACGCGATCTCCCGGAATTCGTGCATTGATCGCTTGTAGATCCAGCGCTTGAGGTAGAACCCCTTGACGCTGACCTCGCGCAGCAGCAAATCCATGCCCGCGACGGACACCTCCGCCTTGTTCATGGTGCCGTAGACGATGACCGTTCCCCTGTTCTTGACGCTGGCGCAAAGAATCTGGCAGGAAGGATGGAGCGAATCAGTGGAGCTGGGTCGATTGGAGAGCTCTTGCCTTTGTGATCTCGCCGCCCAGGCAATCGATGGCGGCGTGCGCGAGCTTGCCATTGGTGATCTTCTTCACCTCCTTGACAACGTTTTCTTCCTTGAAATTGATCACGTAGTCGGCGCCCAGGCGGAAGAGCTCCTCCTTTTGCTCGTTCTTTCTCACCAGATTGATCGTCTGGAAATGGAAGAAACCGATCGATCGATGAATCGTTCCAAGAAAAAAGGAGAAGAAAGGAGACCTTGATGCCCTTGTGGTGTGCGTATTGGATATACATTCTTCCAAGAACCGAGGAAGCTCCACTCTGGATCACGTAATCGCCGCTGGGAACCTCCAGCTCCTCCGCCAGAGCATACACTGCGCAAAAGAGATCCCTCCCGTGAGGAAGGAGTCCACAAACCCATCCAAGATCTTCCTTGCCTGTGAATGGGTTGACGAAGAACTGGCAAGCCACCTCGTTGGAGATGGAGTCGGGCACCGGGATGGTCACATCGGCCGAGCAGAGGAGAAACTCCTGCCATGTCTCGGGATCGCTCCACTCGAGAATCGGGCACACCCGCTGACCCACGCGCAGACCCACCACATTCTCCCCGACCTTTTCTCCCAGTCCAATCGGGTACCCGCAAAAAAGGAGAGGAAGAACACTATGATCGTCAATGCGAAACAGAGGAAGAACACTCCATCGCCAAGTATCCCATCGCCAAGTACCACAAGCAATCAATCCTACACAAGAAGAAGACCCAAGAAGAGATCCATCCTCCTCGATCAATCACCAGGACATCCAAGCTTCTCGGAGATCGATTGGGTCCCAGAAAGAAGAAGACCCAAGAAGAGATCCTCCTCGATCAATCACCAGGACATAATGCCAATTCCTCCAAGCTTTTCCAGGAGGAAGAAGAAGACGAAGAAGACCCAAGAAGATATCCTCCTCGATCATTCATGCCAATCACTGCAAGCTTTTCGGATCGCGATTGGGTAGTAGCATCAAACCAAACAACAGGAAGAAGAGGGGAAGAAGAAAGATCGATCAAACAAGCTGGAGAGCTGACGATCCAGCTTACCTCGTGGATGATCCCCATGCCCTCGAGGCCTGGCACCGCGGGGAAGGAGATGGGCTTCCAGGTGGGGTAGAAGCCCTGCAAGCACATAATGTCGGATGGATTGACTGGGCGGCACAGGAGCTTCACCACGACCTGGCCACTCCCGGCTCGCGGCGTCGCCACCCATCCAATCCGGCACGCCGCCGCTGGATCTTCCCGGTTATACGACAGGAGCTGGATCGCCCTGTGCATCATCGCCGCCGTCTCCTCGCTCTCGATTGATCAATGCTCTTCTCTTACGATCGAAGATCTAGTTTGCGGGAAGGACGAGCTCCTTTTATAACCCAAAGCTCTCGGATTTGTTACCTCTTATTGTTTCGCGGGGTATTAGATTATGAGCGCCATGGAAAGACCGTGTGACCTGCGTAATCCGGGAGCGTCAATCCAGCATCTTTGTACTCAGCAGCAAAGGCGTAAAACTTTCCGTTCCAGGCGTGAATGAGTGAACACGACGCCCTCGCTTTGCTTTAGCATGGATCCTGTATATCAGCGGCAAACTTTCAGGGGAAAAGCGGAGAAAAACGAAAGAACCTTTGGCTCCAAGACCACGTTTCTCACGCTCCATACTAATGGTACCGTCGCTATAGCCACAGTCCTCTCAAACAAGGATGTGCTGCCATTCGTCCACGCCCTGGCCATAACTTTGATCGTGGGAGATTGAATAGTCACGGCCCTGGCAGGGATAAGCCGACCAAGAAAAACGTGGATGGAATAGAAAGGGAGATACGTACATGGATCTTTGTATACTGACTCATAAACTTTGCAGGACTTTTTGCCATGTTCTGCTGTACCAAGGTGTGAGTGAGTCACTGATATCCAAAGAATTGCAATCTCGAGCTCCAGGACATAACTTATCTACAAGAGAGTGAAGTAATCAGTATACTTGTAGAAAAGAAAGGAAACTTGCCTCGAGCGTTTGACTGATCCACCTAAACGTGATGGATGGCTTGGAGTCTGTTAAACAACCGAGAGATCCAAAAGTATGTATAATTTCTCTAGTCAACAACATCAGCTGTTCACGCCAACGAAGTGCGTTTCTCGCGCTTCGCGAAACGACGCCCTGGCTTTGCTCTAGCATAAATACCTGTATATATAGCAGCAAACTTACATTACTCCGCGAATTACCTTCCACTACCTCATCTTGTATTAACACTGTCGTGAAGCTAAGTTGCTACGCAGTTCTCCCAAACGCCGATGCTGCTTAGGAAAGGACCACCGTTGCTGCTACCGCTGCTGCCGTAAATCGCCTCCGATACAACCTTTCGAGCACACTCGTCCCATGCTCTGGCCATGGCTTTGATCGTGAGAGGATGGGTATAATTACCGAGCCTCACCGCCCTGGAAAACGAGTCTCTAGCCACCACTGACAGCAAGTGACTAACGAGGCCAAAAACAAAGCGTAAAAAACATGAATGAAATGGAAAGAAGGATCCTTACTTGGAGTTTGGATCAAAATTGTCGGACATTAGAAGCGGAGGAGTCTTTGGATAAGTTGGAGGGACGAGTACTCGTAGCGGTGACAAAACGGCCTGCCATTAAGAAATATCCGACAAAGTCAAGCACCACAGAAGTAAATAAGGACTTTTACCATGTGATGTATCGTTTCTGGAATCTCAAGGCCGTTGTACGAAAATGTAAGAACAAGACCTTCCTTGCCTTCGGAGGCTGCTTCCTCAGTCCCATCCTCACTGATATCCACGACGGTGTCGATGAGGTGGTCATTCGTGTCGCGAATTTCTTGCTCCAGGACATAACTTATCTACATGAGAGTACTTATAGCGAGGAAAAGAAGGAAACACTTGCCTCAAGTTTTTGACTCTTCCACCCGGATGTGACGGATGACTCAAGGTCGGCCTCGTCCCCTTTGTGGAGACTGTTCACAACGCTTCCATCCGAGGAGATTAGTGTCAGCGCAATGGAATCGAGCTGACGCTTGACCTTCTTCGCAGCTGCTGGGCCTTCCTGCGTTGATGCCAAAGCTCTAGATTGCTGACGACTCTTTGTCAATGCAGCCAAGTCCTCCCCGACAGCTGCTCTGCAACCAGGGCCGGGTGCTGAGGCCGCGAGCTTGTCGGACAAGTTCACGACAGATCTCATTTCCCTCACGCCTGCGCTGAGAGCTTTTGGAGACATCGTGCTAACCTGGAGTTCGATAAAAAAAAAAAAAAAAAACAAATGAGTTTGAGTTATGTAAGAGGAGAAACTAGAACTTACGATCTTAAGAAGCCTCTCCAAAGGATCGAGGCCCTTCTGGCCAAATGGAGTCCCGGGCGCTGGATCCTGCGAGCCAGCGACTTGAGCAGGACTCGGGGAAAACTCCAAGAAAGGTGACGCCGAAATGCCTGGTGTGCCAATCACTGGAGTTGCGGTGGACTGGTTGTAGCCAATCGGCTGGGAACTCGTTATCGAGGACACAGCGGAAGTAGCCGCTTTATGCTCGGCGTCCTCGATTGGTGGCGAAGCAACCGGAAGCAACGGAGAGGGAGTCATAAACGGTGGTGTCGCCGCTTGCAAAGGCGTGCCAACTTTGACGGTAGTTAAACCTTGAGCATGCTGCTGGTCTATCTGCGGTGACAGTTGCTGGGCCAGTTGAGGCGATGGAGCTTGCAGAATCTGGGGAGATGAAGTCAGCTGAGGCGATCCAACTTTCATCTGATTCAGCTGGTTCTGCTGCTGCTGCTGCACTCGCTTAGTCGCCATCATTCTTCGGATATCCATCTTCGAATCCTCCTGCATTTGTTGCTGCTGGTGTTGTTGCTGCTGCAGAGGAAGGACGAGGTTGGAAGCTTGCTGCAACTTTTGCTGCTGCTGCTGAGCCAGTTGGATTCTCTTCATCTGCTGCTGCTGTAGAAGATCTTGCTTAAACACATGCTGCTGCTGCTGCTGCTGCTGCTGGAGAGGATTTAGACTGTGCATCATGTTGGGCTGAGCAGTATTCTGCCCCGGAATTGTGACAGGCGGATGCTGCACGGACGAAATCTGACCGCCAAGCATTCCTTGCTGCTGGTGCTGCTGCTGCTGAAGTTGCACTTGCTGCTGCTGCTGTTGCTGAGGGAGCTTACGCTTCTTAAAAGTCTCCATAATACTCACAATTTGCTTCTCGAAGGCTTCTAACTTGTCTAGCCTGAACTCCTTTGGAAGGTTGGTCCTCGAGGCAGATAAATATGGAATCATTCGGCTTAACACGTCCTTGTAATGATTCAGCTTCTGTAGCTGATCTGCGGGCATTGACTGCATATAGAAAAAAAAAATGTTTGTAACAATTTGGGCCGACAAAGGCTTACCTGTTGACTTCGTGCAACAAGCATGTTCCGAAGATCGTTCATGTCAGGTAAATACTTGTCCTTGAGGTTTTGCAGCTGTAACAGAAACGATTATTTCATATTGAATACAAAGTATGCTGTGATACATACCTTGTTCCACACCGTCTCTTGTTGGTCGATGGTAGCGGACTGAGCTGTCTGACCCGAATCAACTGAAGCTGTGAAAAAAACAATTAAGCCCACTCGCTCTTGAAAATCCATAACAACGCACCTGAGGAAGCTTCGGACACGGCACGTTGTTGCATCATCCCGAGGGGTTGATTTTGCTGCGGCAGTGCTTGTTGCTGCTTCGGCTGAAGCATTTGTTGCTGAAGCATCTGCTGGCCATTGCTCAAGAGCTGCTGCTGGTGCAAAGCTTGAGCACTCGGCTGCTGCTGTTGCTGCTGCATGTACGGTTGTTGCTGCTGTTGCATCAAGCTTGGTTGATGCTGAGACATATTTGACTGAGGCTGAGAAAGTCCAGCTAGCTGTGGCTGTTGTTGTTGTTGCTGCTGTTGCAATGGTGGTAGCTGCTGTTGCTGCTGCTGCTGCTGCTGTTGATGGTGCTGCAACAGGGTCACGGGCGGCTGCTGTTGCGGCTGCTGCTGCTGTTGCTGCTGTTGCGGAAGTAGACCTTGCTGCGAATTAATCCCAGAAGGTTTTAGAACCATACTCGTCGGTTGCTGCTGCTGTTGCAAGCCGGGTTGCTTTTGCTTCATATGCATCCGGTAAAGCATCTGCTGAGAAGCAACATGCGGAGGTTGTGAAGATTGAGGCTGTTGTTGTTGCTGCTGATGCTGTGGTTGTTGTTGAGGCTGTTGTTGCTGCTGTTGTTGTTGCTGTTGTTGTTGCTGCTGCTGCTGCTGTGGCTGCACTTGAGTTTGACGAGCTTGCATCATTCTCACGGCAGCTGAATTCTGGCCGAGACCGGCAAGGTTTGCTTGTTGTCCTTGCAGGTGTGCTGGCAAGGCCGCAATGGGATTCCCTTGCAAAGACTGATGTGGTCTGCCTTGACCACTCAGTTGGATGTTGTTGCCAAAACTTTGCGGGACTTGAGCTTGACCTTGAGCTTGTCTCATCTGTAATTGCTGCTGCTGCTGCTGCTGTTGGAGTTGTTGTTGCTGTGGTTGCTGCTGCTGGATTTGCTGCTGCTGTTGCTGGGGCTGCTGCTGCTGTTGCTGGATTTGTTGCTGGAGCTGCTGCTGGATTTGAGGCTGCTGAGGCGGCTGCTGCTGCTGCTGCTGCTGCTGGATTTGCTGGGGCTGCTGCTGCTGCTGGAGCCCTGGCTGCTGAGCACCCATGAGAGACGAAGTCCCAGAAACCATCTGAGAAGCATCCGAGGGATTTGGCGGGGGAGCGTTGCTGTTGTTCTGGGACGACTTATTCTCTAGCGAGAGCATCTTCATGGATATCCTCCGGAGATAGTCTTGCTGAACAAGGAAAAAAGAAACTTTTCTATCATCGATCCGATCAGAGGAGCGAGGAGAAACTTGCCTGATCCGTCGCCGTCATGTAAATCTTCTCCTCGAAGCGGCATGCGATCTTGAGCAGCTCGTTCATGCCGTCGGGCGGATTGTGTGGCATATGCTTCTGGAGCGTGTCCATTCTGCCGATTACCGGAGACAAGGCCATGAGGATCAATCCAGAGAGCTAGAGGGGAGCGCTTACATTCTCTTGACGATCTTATTCCGCGCATCGGAGCATAGGCCACTACGCCAATCCATTGCCCTCGTCTTCTCAAACCCTAGCTAGCTCGCTTCTCCTATTTGGTAAATCTGTTGAAAACTAATAAAATAATGTGAAATATTCTTTACATCTAAAGAATCCGGTCAAGTATCTAGGGCTTGACAGAGCTATGGCGTTCCAGGGCGCCAGGGTTCCTCTCAATTGGTGGCAGCGCGCGGCCGTCGTGGCGGGTTCGGCAGTGGGAGCTGCGCTGAATCCCGCTAGGGCGGATCTCGTCGCTGCTCTGGGCGAGACCACGGGAGGATTTGCGTTCCAGCGAATGCTGGAGCGTATGGAGCGAAGCCCCGAGGGCCAGGTAGCAAGCAAATCTTGTTCTTCCTATCCATCTCCAAGCAATTCCTTTGCTCCAAGCAGAGAATTCTCGCGGAGCGTCCCAGAGTGACATCGTCGGCAATGTCTCGCGCCTGGGATCTCCCACCCAATACCTTTGGCGCCGCCTACGCCCAGTTCATGGGATCCAGGAACTTTAGCCCCGACGATCGCCCTCCAGTTCGATTTCTAGAGTCCGAGCAGCTCGCCTACGTTGCGACACGAGCCCGGGAAGTTCACGACTTTTGGCACGTCCTCTTTAGCCTGCCCACCAGCGTCATGGGAGAGCTCGCCTTGAAAGCTCTCGAGTTCCAGCAGACCACCATGCCGATGTGTTTCCTCTCGGTTGCCGGAGCTTCGTGGCGGCTCAAGCCACACCAGAGGGACGCGCTCTTCCGGGAGTTCATCCCCTGGGCTTTCAAGGCTGGGAACTCCGCCACGGACCTGATGTGCGTTTACTACGAGCAGCACCTGGACGAAGATCTGGAAGACGTTCGCAGCAAGTGGGGCATCATTCCTGCGCCGGCGCTACGAAAAAAATAGTTTTTCCGAGCCTCCTCAACTCGTCAACTTCGCCCAAGCTCCTGTGAGCCTCTTCTTCTACAAGAGCTTTGGTGCTGGATAAAAGGTTGAGCAATTGCCGAAGAAACTTGCCTGTGCACGAATGGAAAAGTCATTAGAACCGGATCGCAAAAGCTCAGGTACTTACATTCTCCTGATGGACATTTCCAGTTGTGTCGTTCGGATCAGGTCTCTGAGAAGCCAATGTTCCAGAGGCCTTCCGGTGTCGAGGGAGGAACGTACTTATACCGATGCTCACACCGCGAGTTCCCGTTTCGCCTGGGAGTTCCACACGTTGACGTTGGGAATCTAGTGGGAAAACCACATCGAGCAACCTGAAGCTCGTAGTGATGCGACGGAGACACTGGACTTACAACGATGGTAGAGGTGCGACTGCTTCTGCTAAGTCTCCAGGAAAGGAGTGGACTGCGCCTGTTAAGTCGGTGCGGAAGACAGCCGACGCGTGGAATGCAAGTGCAAAAAGTTCTACCACGCGGCTTCGATTTCTCAGCTCCATGGCGATCTCTTGAGGCGTGTCGGCTCTGGTGGTGAAGTCCGAGGAATTGAAATTTAGGTAGAAACTAACATAATATCACATTGCAACCCTATTGAAGTAAAGCCTTGCAAGAATTAATTTAGCCCAAGGTAAAAATTAAATCTTTGTCTTGAAATTATTTCTTTTTGGTCTAATTAGGATTCTTTACCTTAATGAATATTGACACAAACAATTATAGAAATGTAATTTGTGCTTAATTGATTGTGCCACTTTTATAAAGTATTTTTCTTCTTTTTAAGAAAATATACAAATTGACAATCAAATTTAAAGTGAGATTGAATATAATATTTCATCTGAGCAAGATTGAAGTGCTAATATTGAGCAATCTTGCTTTTCCCCTCTTATTTCTCTTAAGTATACAAAGATTTCAAATTTAAATGGCTTATCATATCTAAAACCAATTTAAACTTCATAGTCAGAGTTACTCTTTAAAAAAAAATGGTGTATATCCAAATTTTAACATAAAGCAAAAGTATTAGTACATGCAAATTTACATATTGCAATCAAAATAGGTATGAAACTTAATGTCCCTCAAGTGTATACTTAATATTCTAAGTTAATATCATTATATGTCAGGATAAGATACCAAATTATATGTATATATACTTAATGTTATAATATAATGTGTTTAAGTTCCACACTTTAATTACTCTACATAAAGAGGATTTGAATTCTCCTTTTCTTTGAAAATGGGTGTGAGATAATGTAGTGAATGTTTATATCAAGCTTATCAATGGTAATATGTTCAATTTTTTATTGTGTCAATTTATCATCAAGGAATAGAAGGTAAAGTTTTTTATTTATCTTTTTCATTGCTAATAACTATTAGTTTACATTTATTTATGCTTTCTTAAAAGGAAAGCATAAAAAGATTATTCTCCATTTTGATCTTATAATCACAGTCCACAATCAATATTTTATTATGATAATGATAGAGAACTACATCAAATCAAGTGCAATATAAAAGTATTATGGGAAACCTTATTCAATCTTGCTCACCACAATACCTTAATAACTTAATGAACATGATTACACCTTTATTTTTTGATAATATAAACTATATTAAACACTTGTTATAAGTGGGTAAACATGTGATAAAGTGAGAGTATTAAAACCAAGCTAAAAATCCAAGAATTGAATTCGTCCAGTATTAAACTCCTTAACCAGATGGACTGTTGCTCCTTCTGAGGCCACCGGGATTTGCCAGTGACTCGACTTGAGGTTCAAGCTGGTTCTTCCAAGTTCTTGTGAGTCGAGTAGTAAACAACGTGGATAGCCTTCTCCCCGTGGGAACCAGATCCAGCGGTCCAATTCCATTCATTGAGACGAAAGTATCCTTGTCTATCAGGGTTCACGCCCGTGAGATCCTGGGGACGACGTACTTTTGGAGCTTCTCATCCGGAGAAGCGAGTATACTTCCCATGTAAACTTCCGGAGAAAGGATCCCATCCACGAAGACCAGCCTGATGTTCTCTTCTTCTTTGTCTTCCATGCCCTCAAAGATCATCTCCACCTGTCACCAGCGGCAGGATCTCTGAATCCTTGAGAAACTTCACGTTTGTGACTTCGTCTTTGCTGCTAGGCCACTTACACGTAACCGCGACCTCGGCCGATCCATCCCGCAAGGCTTTCGAGACGAGATTGGTCCTCCTCTCCTCCCCAGCACCCTTGCTCGCGCTGTCCTCCAGCTTCTCTGCGAGCTCTAGAAGAGCCTGCTCTCCGAGGAGCAGTAATCCGGCCTCTCGATCTGCTCTGCCATGGGCGCCTTCCTGGACCGGAAGGTTAGGTGCTGAAGGAAGGCAAGTTCATCTGAAATCCAGGCCTGCAAAGGGAATTCTGTTTGAGAATATTCTCCGTGAAGAACCCCGGTTCTGCCTCGTCGTGGAAGCTATTGACCTGCTTCTAGATGCGTCGTCTTCAAATGTAAGCTCGTAGATCTAGCGCTCCCTCAGGCGAGCTCTCTTACAGGATGTGGATCGCGAGGGCCAATGATCCAGAGATGCTTGCCAAGCGGAAGAACGCTGTGTCAGTGGCGCCAAGCAGGCCTCAAAAGGAAGAGATTGCTCCTTCCAAGGCAGAGCGCGACGAGGTTAGAAATTCTAGTCGCGTTTTCTTTTCCTCACATCACGTATGGATTTAATCGGCGGCGAAGGATCTCCAGAAGAAGAGCATGAAGCTCGACGAGTTCCCGGAGGTGTCGGTGCTAGTTGGCTTCTCAAGGGTGCTCAAGAGCGTGCAGCACGAGAAGGAGCGAATCTTCCAGATCCTAAGTGTTTTCTCTTCCATTTTTCTCTTTACTTCTCGTGGCTTACGAATCGAGGGGATACAGTGATCGATGCGTATCGTTTGATGCAAAGTAACAAGCGAGCGGCACATTCCAACGCACATCTCCATGCTATTCGCGACAGAAAACGTTAAGTACGAGCAGGAACAGGAGGCCGGACGCTCAGAGAATGAGCCTGCGAAACAAGATTCTCTGTCTGCGAGGGAAGGTTCTCGGTCTGCGAGGGAAGGTTCTCGGATGAGAGCTGTGAGGTTCTCGGTCCTCTGTGGCAATGGGATTCCCTTGCCAAGACTGATGTGGTCTGACGCGACCACTCAGTTGGATGTTGTTGCCAAAACTTTGCGGGACTTGAGCTTGAGCTTGTCTCATCTGTAATTGCTGCTGCTGCTGCTGCTGAAGTTGTTGTTGCTGTGGTTGCTGCTGCTGGATGTGCTCCTGCTGGATTTGCTGGGGCTGCTGCTGGAGCCCTGGCTGCTGAGGACCCATGAGAGACGAAGTCCCAGAAACAATCTGAGAAGCATCCGACGGATTTGGCGGGGGAGCGTTGCTGTTGTTCTGGGACGACTTATGCTCTAGCGAGAGAATCTTCACGGATATCCTCCGGACATAGTCTTGCTGAACAAGGGAAAAAGAAACTTTTCTATCATCGATCCGATCAGGGGAGCGAGGAGAAACTTGCCTGATCCGTCGCCGTCATGTAAACCCTCTCCTCGAAGCGGCATGCGATCTTGAGCAGCTCGTTCATGGGCAGATTGTGTGGCATATGCTTCTGGAGCGTGTCCATTCTGCCGATTACCAGAGACAAGGCCATTAGGATCAATCCAGAGAGCTAGAGGAGAGCTCTTACATTCTCTCGACGACCTTATTCCGCGCATCGGAGCATAGGCCACTGCGCCAATCCATTGCCCTCGTCTTCTAAAACCCTAGCTAGCTCGCTCGCTCCTCCTAGTTGAATAAAATAATGGGATGTCAACGCCCACCAGTGCACCTGGACGAAGACGTTCGCAGCAAGTGGCGCATCGTTCCTGCGCCGGCGCTACGAAAAAAATAGTTTTTTAGAGCCTGCGCAACTCATCAACTTCTCTTGAGCTTTGGTATAATACCCGAAGAAACTTGCCTGTGCACGAGTGGAAAATCCATCAGAACCGGATCACAAGAGCTCAGGTACTTGCATTCTCCTGCTCGGATTAGGGCCAATGTGTCGAGAGAGGAACGTACTTATACCAATGCCTTGACACCTGATTGTGATGCTCACATCGCGACTTCTTGTTTCGCCTGGGAGTTCCACATGTTGACATTTCATGCCAGATACGTTGGGAATCTTTGAGCAACTAGGCAGAGCTAAAGATCGTAGTGATGTGATAAAATCTCCAAGGAGAGACTGGACTTGAGGTGCAAATGCTTCTGCTAAGTCTTCAAGAAAGGAGTGGACTGTGCTTGTTAAGTTAGTGTGGAAGATGGTTGAGATGACTCTTTCAATTTTGGCATACACTTGATTTTTCATTTTGCATATTGATGCTTTTAATATTAGTTTTAATGGTATTTTGATGCAAGTGTGCGTAGTTAGTTTCCATCCCATCAACTGAACATTACAATTAGTAAAGGTAAATTATTTCATAAAAGAGGACAATAATTTAGGGTTTCAAGAAGCTTCATAAATATTTGCATGGTTTTTGGACATTATTAAAAGGTGATTATGCTATGGTTACTTTATTATTAATGTAGAATAACTTGGTTAGTTGTACTGCTCAATAAGCTCTAAAACTTCAAATATATAATTTCAAAGTATTCATCATTTAGAAAGTATTATGATTGATGTTGATGCTTTTTCTTAAGCTCATTTCCCTCTTTCACTCTCTTCTCATATTCCTAATGAGTTTATTATTTTAGCATCTATGGATTTTCTAGATGAGAATTCAATGCAATCAACAATTGTTATACTTGATTAAGTGTCCATAAAATGTGGAATAAAATTTATCTTCTATTGATAAGGTTCATGAGGCTTAAAAGGTTAAGCAGTGAATCCAAACGCTTCATAATGGGTTTAAGAATTTCACATCATTTACTAATGCTATTTTAGCATTTACAATTTCAATATCATCTTGAAGATGACTTTCTTTATTTTGTGGAGATGGATTCTAATGATTATTACGACTAATGGTGCCTTCAATATTTATTCCACTCTTTCTCCACACTTACCATTATACTCCTATTCTAGGTAAACATATAAGATATTGTTGTATAATTGAAAAGTTGTGTACATGTTTTTATTGGCCTGAGATATGATATGATGTTATCTAATATATGTGTAATTGCATTTGGTACTAAGCTCATAAGGCTCCCCCTTCTATTGTAAAAGGACAATTAGAGTCAATTCTAATTTCTCGTTTATTTAAGTTGGTGACATTTGACTTGATGGAGCCTTTTCTATAGTTTATTGTTAGCAATAAGTATATCATTATTACTTATAACTATTTGACTCAATGGGTGGAAGTTAGTGCTTTTGCTCTCTCAAATAATAGTCCCATATTTATGGTCAAGTCATTTCACATTTTAACATCTTAATTGAGGAAATGCCATACTTTTATAAATGTTTATCATTTACAAATAGATAGTTTAGTGAAATGGCTTATTTGGACCTTCAAATGGATAATTGCAAAGTATGTGAACTTTCAACATTCAAATTAGGATGGTTATTTGTCATTTTTTTTGTATGTATATGTCACAAGGGTATAAAGTTTTATTAGTGATTCACCATATAAAATTTTATATAACTATGATCCAATACTACTAACAGAGTTGAGTTTACCTTCGCAATTGCCACAAACTATCAATATTAGGTCTTGATATTAATATTTGATGAACATTCTTCCACTAATTCAAGTGGAGTTTAATAAATATTTAGTCTATGTATAAGTGGGACAATAATAATGTTATAACTCCTATCATCATCTATATTCAAAATAAAAAATAGATGGTTTGGTATTATTTCATTTTTTAAATCTTATAGTATATAGTTTGTTTAAATGGTTTTTTGCTCAATGGAAGGGACTGTATCAAATATTGTGGCAACTTAGACCACAAATTTATAAAATTTAGTATGACATTCAACAAACCCATCCTCCAAATATTATGCATGTGCAATGACTAAAAAGCTAAATTTGAGGTACAATAACTTGAAATTGCAAATCCATCAACTTCGGTAAAGCATGCAATTATAGAAGCTTAAGACATGCTAAATTCAAAGTACAATAACTTGAAAATGCAAATTCACTAACAAACAGTAGTAAGATCTAATTGGTGAATGAAAGATTTATCCTTAAACAATTTAAAAGATCAACAATGTAAGGAAGAAAATACACATTCAGGATAGTTATTTTATTTAACAGTTGATAATCAATGTAGAAGTGAATATTCCCATCAGATTCTGTTACAAGACAAGGTTCACACACTTACAACTATTTGAATTAGTGATGCAATTTAGCATTTATTTCTAGAGTTTCTTGTTTTGTGCAGAGTTAAATATATTAAAGTGGATCAAGTTAAAAATGTTGTTTTGTCAAGATTTTATGAAACTTTTGTATACATTTGCTTTAGCCACCTTTAATTATACTTTTCGATTGACACAACATTATGAAATATCATTTTTGCTACACATTCTTCAATTCCACTTTTTTTGGGAGATGATCCTGTTTTAATAGAAGTTAATGTTATCATTACTTGTGTTCAAAGACAAAGGTGAGGACATAATTGTAGCTGTGATATTTGTTATTAGGTATATAATGAAGTTGATTAAAATCTTCCATTTCTTGCTTGGAAGCCTTGGCATCAACAATGTCTTGTTAATGTTGTTGTGGTGGGAGGTTTTACTATAGAGATTCTTTTGGGAAACAAGAAATTATATAAATAATAGAGAGTTTTTGTATGAACAAGTCATTGGCCTTTCCATCCTTCTTTTAAGAGCACTATCAAGGGGTTCACTCAACACTAGTTTATTTAGTGTTTATTTTCAAAGATTTTTATAACAAGAAGTTTATTATTTTCTTTATGTTAATTGATATAACCTTGAGTTTATCTTATATTGCTTCATCTGTTGCCACATATTGCTGTTTATATTTGCATTGTGTAGTAAAGTTAATTTTCATTCTCTATGGCAATGGTTGTATATATGTATATACACAAAATGATGTGAATTTAGTTATGTGTATTCTGTGCATATGCATGTGTACAGGTGATTTTGAGTTTGAGATTTAATCTTTGCAAGTGGTGCTAAATTAAGATTTTGACCTCATCTTTGGTATGGATTAGCTATAATGCAATCATGCCAAATGGGACTTTGAGATTTCTCCTACTTATTTCATACTTCTTTATCATTTTTTTATTTCTCTTATTTCTATTTTACTCTGTCCTTTAGTTTCAACCTTAGTTTCGATCACTTTTATTTCCTGATTACTTTCTACTATGTTTCCATCTTACTCCTCTATTTCCACTTTAGATCCCTCCAATGGTATTTGTGTTGTAGTGTTTAACTAACTCATGAAGAAGCATGCTGATCTTTTTGACCTTGATTTATCATTTGGGGCTAAGATTAGAGTATGTCATCTTATTCCAATTAGGGATGTTTATTGAATGAAAGTTTTTATTTAGCATTGGTTACCAAAAAATATCAAAATTTTATTCACAAATGGTAAGGAAATATTGAAGAGCAATGTTATCTGAAAGTTGTGAAATCCTTGCCTAATCCATTCCTATCATGTAAATCTTCTCCTTGAAGTAGAATGAAAGCTCATTCATGCCATTGGGTGGATTGTGTGGCATATGGTTCTGGAGCGTGTCCATTCTGCCGAACCAAAGAGAAGGCTATGAGGATTGAGAGCTAGAGGTGAGCTTTTACATTCTCTTGACAATCCTATTCCGCAGATCGGAGCACAGGCCACTGCGCCAATCCATTTCTCACAAACTCTAGCTAGCTCTGTTCAAAATTTGAAAAAATAATGTGGAATGTTCTTTACATCTACAGAATCTGGTCAAGTATACAGAGTATGGGGTTCCTCTCAACTGGTTCTTTCTATCCATCTCCAAGCAATTCCTTGGTTCCAAGCAGGGAATTCTCGCGGAGCGTCCCAGAGTGACATCGTCGGCAATGTCTCGCGCCTGGGATCTCCCACCCAATACCTTCGGCGCCGCCTACGCCCAGTTCATGGGATCCAGGAACTTCAGCCCCGACGATCGCCCTCCAGTTCGATTTCTAGAGTCCGAGCTATGCGAGCCCGGTGAGTTCACGACTTTTGGCACGTTTGGCCTCTTTGGCCTACCCACCAGCGCACCTGGACGAACATCTGGAAGACGTTCGCAGCAAGTGGGGCATCATTCCTGCGCCGGCGCTACGAAAAAAATAGTTTTTCCGAGCCTCCGCAACTCGTCAACTTCGCCCAAGCTCCAGTGAGCCTCTTGAGCTTTGGTATAATAGCCGAAGAAACTTGCCTGTGCACGAGTGGAAAAGCCATTAGAACCGGATCACAAGAGCTCAGGTACTTACATCCTGCTCGGATCAGGTCTCTGAGAAGCCAATGTTCCAGAAGCCTTCCGGTGTCGAGGGAGGAACGTGTTTATACCGATGCCTTGACACCTGATTGTGATGCTCACACCGCGAATTCCCGTTGCCATCGCCTGGGAGTTCCACTGCGTCGTAGAACTTCTTGCACTGCTTGCATTCCACGCCTTTGAGTGCTTCCCTGTCGGCCTTCTTCCGCACCGGCTCGTTGAACTTGTACTTTGGCAGCTGAGCACCCGACTTACCAGGCGCAATCCACTCCTTTCCTGGAGACTTAGCAGCATTCGCGCCTCTACTAGTCCAGTCTCTCCCTGGAGATTTTAGTGTCTCCACCGCATCACTATGATCTTCAGCTCCGCCTGGTTGCTCGATGTGGTTCTCCCACTCGATTCCCAACGTATCCGGCACGAAATGGACTGTTTCTTCAGCACGCGGCTTCGATTTCTCAGCCGCGATTTTCTTCATGGCGATCTCTTGAGGTGTGTTCAGGAAATCATCGTGAGGATCTCTGCCACCATCGTTTTCGGCTCTGGTGCTCCTCCACTTGTCCTTAGAACTGGAGGTGGTGAAGAAGTCTTTGAGCGTGCCTTTTTGCTTCCTTCTATCCGCGATGGGAGTTGCATCCTTCTTGTACCCGAAAACCTCAATCCTTGCTTCTGTTTTAGCTTCAACGACCAAGCCTTCTTTTTCCTTGCGAGCATCGCTAACTCTTCCAGGTCCTGATGCTACTGCCTCATTCTCCTTGCTACCACCAATCCCAGATAATAGCAGTTCCTTGTTATGCCCACCCGAGAATTCCTTCTGGTGGCCTGTCATTTCCTTCTCTTTGGACCGGAGACTCTCGATCCCAGATGCCACTGCTTGCTGGCGAAGCATCGAATCGTACTTCATTTTCAAGCTACTGTACCTCGAATTCATGCTGCGGAACGCCACTCTCTTGGTCTCCTGATCCTCCAGAAGCTCGTCACGCTTCCTCTTCAAGCTTCTCACTTTGGCATCCAGATCCCTATTTTCCTGCTCAAGCTTCGCCACGGCAGCATCCCTCTCGGCCACAAGAGCCTCCTTCTCCCGCGCCAGGTCATCCCGCTCCGCCACAAGAATTTCCCTCTCCCGTTGCCATCGCCGCTCCGCCTCCTCCCAATCTCGCCTCAGATCCGCAGTCTCCGCCTCGTGCCGCTGGATTATCGACTGCTGCCAAGCAGGGTAGAGATTCTGCGAGAACACGGCCTCTAGATGCTCAATGTGCTCCTTCGTCTGGCAGATCGAGGCCAGAAACAAGGTACACATGCGTTCCAGGTGCTTACCCTCAGCGCCGTGCTCTTCATCCGGCGCCATCGCTGCGCCAGAGCAAGCCGCCATAGCCTAGGGCTCCACTTTCCCTCCCGATTTAAAACTTTGCCCTAAAAAGGTCGAGAGCTCGAATCCGGGGAATTTATGCAAACACATCATTCTTCCTGGAACGTCACTGCAAAGAGAGAAGAGAATTTTCTTAGAATCGACCATAGCCCATGGATCCAAGTTTGAGCCTGTGCTGCAATACCCTAGCGGGAGGGACGCGATTCTTAGCCGCCTTGGCTTGCGATTTCTGCCACCATAGCTCGTCCTCGTAGCTATACTTCCCCTCGCTCTCGGGCAGCTTCGAGTTATGATCGCCCTTGGACGAAGAAGAATTCTCGGCAGCAGATCTAAATGGCTGGAGCTCAGGCACAGGGCTCAAATTCTCCACCGCCGAGGTAGCAGCAGCTTCCGGAGAAAACGCTGGGTTCCAGGTGAGCGCATTGTGCTCGGGAGGAGAGAATCCAAGAGAGCTTGGCGGCCAGAGTCCCGGATTGAAATCCCCCAGCGGCGGCCATGGATTTCGCCCGAATTGCGGGTGCCACAGCGGAGGATCCAGGCCCCCAAATGGCCGCCTGGATGGATCATCCATGGCAGCCGCGTCGATCTTGCCGAGATGCATCTTGAGGAGGCGGAGCTCCTGGGCCAGGGCGTCGCGCTCTCTCATCAATCCCTGCTTCTCCTGGAGCCATAGCTTCTCGGCGCTGACCCTGGCCTGGAGGAGCCCTTGCTTCTCCTGGAACCACATTTGCTCCGCGATCTTCCTCTCCTGCATCATCGCGTGCCTCTCCTGGAGCCACTTCTGGAGCGATTCCTGGTGCGCCAGCCGCAGCGCCGCCAGCGCCGCCTCCGATTCCTTGACAAACGCCGGGTAGACCCGGCTGGAGAACAGCATCTCCAGGTGCTCCATCTGCTTCTTCGTCTGCGCCATGGATGCGTAGAAGAGACTATACATCCCACCGAGCTTGTGCGCGACGCCTCCATCCCCGTCGCCCCTGAAACCATCGGACACATCCGCCATCGCCACAACGAACTCTGAAGAACCCTAGCAATCCAAATTCCCGCCAAAAGAGAGGATATTCTGGTTTAAATCGCGTCTCAGGCTCGATTCCTGGGACACGCACTTCTTCGCTATCATTGTGTCACTTCCAGGAGCCTCTTCGTCTCATCGTCACCCGAAACTTTGTTCCTCGCCATTCTCCCGAGGAAGAAGGGGCCGGGCGAGACCTTGGCTTCCACGTACACCTTGAGGAGCGCGTTGTAGAGCTTGGCGTCGCCATAGAGACCAAACAAGCTCATGAGCTTCTCGGCCCCCTCGACGTCCCTCTTGCTCGCAAACACCGGCATCATCCCCAGCACCATCTCATAGTCCGGCTCGATCCTCTTGTCCACAACGTACTCCATCCCTTCCCGGAGCTTCTCCAGAGCTTTCTCCGGCTCGTCCCTCGCAAGGTAGCCCGATACCAGATGGTTGAAGGGAGCAAACCACGGGAATGAGAGCTCCAGCCTCAGCTTCTTCATCGTCAGCTCGGCCTTCTCCATCATCCCGTGCTTGGCGTAAACTCCGATCATCGCGCAGTATGGCTTCTGGATGGCCTTCTTCCGCGTCTTGAGCACCTGGTTGAGTACGTCCTCGGCTCTAGAGATCTTCCCGAGAATCCCAAACGCGTTGATGGCCGCTACAAATCTCCCTGCTAGAGTCCAGCTCTCTTTGTGGATCATGCTCCACAGCTTCTCGACCATGTCCGGCTTTCCCAAGTAGGCGTACACCACCATCATGTCCGACCGTGTGGCGTTCCTCACTTTCTCGTCGTGAACATCTATCTTCTTGAGCGCTGCCTCGGCTGCTTCTTCGAGACCATCGATCGCCCCGATCCTGTTCCGGTACTTGAAGAGCAGGAGATACGTGAGAGGATTCGGTTGCCCGCCGGAAGCCACTAGATCTTGGTAGAGCTGCAAAACTTCGCGGTGCCTGTTCCTCCGGAGGAAGAGTATCATCATCACGTTGCAGGCCCTTGCGTTGTTGAGCTTGAGCGCTGTATGCCACGCCTCCGCCTTTAGCATCACATTACTCCTGGACATGGAGGCGATCAAGGCTGTCGAGACCTCCTCCGTCTTGAGCTCAGCAGGAACTCGGTCGTAAATTCGCTCGGCTTTGATAGGACTCGCGTAGCGGCACGTCAACTTTATCTGGAGTGCGTAGTCTCTGGGAGTGACTGTGAATGGCTTGTCATCAACAATCCAGTTGATGATCTGCGCGGAGAAAAAAAGCAATCGATCACAAAAAAAACTTTTTTTTCTACGATCTCGTACCTGTAGTGCTCGGATCTGGCGCCGGATGTAGCACAGCTTGTGACAAATGCTGATGAGAGCTTCTTTCGACACCAGGTTTCCTCGAGAAATCCACGCGTGGATGATCTTGAGAGCCCGGGTCGGGCTCGCCTCCACCTTCTTCCACAGCCGATTGAACTGCTCAGGGTCCATCTCGTCGTCATCCATGGTCCGGAATTTCATCCGCATTATCGGATCATCGTCCAGCTCGTTCTTGATTGCCGCCTTCTTCTTCACCTGCACGGCCTGCGAGAAATTCCGGGCAGCGAATCCACCCAGGTCCGACGCCGATGATTCACAGCTTCCCAATCCCACGCTCTTCGCCGCATTCAAGCAAGGAATCGTCGTGCCGGGAGATCCAAAGTGCCTGGCACAGCGCCCGGTGAGACGAGTTATCTGCATTCTAGCGCATTCCACCGCATTACCTCTGGATCGCTGCTTGCCGGCACGCCCGTAGCAATGCCCTCCCGATCACTGCTCGCCCAATGCCCATGGAATGATCGATAAACCCTAACTCATCCCAGCCGTTAAACTGCTCAACATATCCCTGCCGTTGATTCGCCTAGAACCCTAGGAGGGTCTCGCCCTAATCTTTGGAGGCGCTGCGCCATGGCGGACAAGCAGAATCCCATGCGGGAGATCAAGGTGCAGAAGCTCGTCCTCAACATCTCCGTCGGCGAGAGCGGCGATCGGCTGACAAGAGCCGCCAAGGTTTGGGATCTTCCTCAGCTTTTCACAGAAATTCCTCTCGATCTGCCGCATTTTCTCCATCCCTAGGTCCTGGAGCAGCTCAGCGGACAGCAGCCAGTGTTCTCCAAGGCGAGATTCACTGTCCGCTCGTTTGGCATCCGGCGAAACGAGAAGATCGCGTGCTACGTGACGGTGAGGGGCGACAAGGCGATGCAGCTCCTGGAGAGCGGCCTCAAGGTCAAGGAATACGAGCTGCTGCGCCGGAACTTCAGCGACACCGGCTGCTTTGGATTTGGCATCCAGGAGCACATCGATCTCGGCATCAAGTAGGAAGTTCTTCCTCTTCCTCTTCCTCTTCTCTCTTCTCGAGAACGTCTGCTAAGTTTTGGGCTTTTTGTCTCAGGTATGATCCATCCACTGGGATTTACGGGATGGATTTCTTCGTGGTGCTCGAGCGGCCTGGATACCGCGTCGCGAGGAGGAGGCGATGCAAATCCAAGGTCGGACACAAGCAGCGGGTGACCAAGGAGGACGCCATGAAGTGGTTCCAGCTCAAGTACGAGGGTGTGATCCTTAACAAGTCCCAGGCAATCTGAGATCATCGTGATGGACTTTCTTTTTTGTTCTATCAAAAGCTTTAGGGTTCTTGGAGCTCGGGTTTACGCTGAATATATAAAAGCGTGTTAACCACGTGGATTTAGGTTTTTGACCAGAGTTTGACCGGGCTGTAGACCGTTGACGAGGAACGGTTGGGATGGAAACGGAAAGTGGTGATAACGATAACGATGAATCTGTCAACTTTCCTGATAGTTCTTTGTCTTTTGCTATTATACATTGGCAAAAGAGCAAGGACTCTTTTGTGGTGTTATCTATCTTGGTTCGGACTAGACGTTTCCATATTTTAAAGAGAAAGCTCGAAGTTTTCCGCGAATGCTACATTGAGAAAGGCCAAGTCCAGTACACAAAAATTGGATGCTAAGAAGGGTCCACAAACCAAATCAAATCCGACCTAAGAACTTACAGTCTTAGTGCCTTCTACACTTTACACTTTTGTGGCGTCAAGAAAAGCAAAAGATGCCAACATTCATGAGCTCAAATCAAATGGGGATGCTTCACCAAACAAGGCTATTCACACCTAGACCCTCTTTGTCAAGAAAGAAAATGGCAAATTTCCAACCTTGCAAGTCGAAATCCCTGAGGAGTGTGTAGTAACTACTGGAAAAGAAATTTTTACGGTTCTTATTACCTTCATCGTACAGTTGTCAAGCAATCCAGATTGGAAGGAACCATTCCTAAACAAAACATAAATGCATGATCGTCCATGGATCTTTTCTATACATTTACAATGCTTCTATCCCTTGCAGCGGCTGGCCACAAGCAAAAAGCCTGTGTACTATGCTTGTTTTTCCTGTAATGTAACCATTCATGGCTGTCTTGAGTCAGGGACAAGATGAGGCATGCAAAGATTAGGTTAAAAAAGAAGAAAAGAGCGTGATCGATGTGATGTGATAGACTGCTACCTTACTACATCATCTGGCTGAGATGGTTGTACGGAAGTAGGAATCCAAACCGGACACCCAAATTGCTACAATCCTTTCAAAGCTGGCAACCATTGATACCCATCACATGGGCCCAATCCCCGTATGCTGCCAGGCATGGGTCTCGGCGCGCTGGTACTTTTGGCCATTGGCCATTTCTACCCCAATATAAAGACCAAGTGTTTGAAGCTCACCCAAAGCCAGTGTAGTAGAGTCCATCTTCTCTTTGGTCCTCACTCTCACAATTTCCCCCTTCCCTGTTCTTCCCATTTCCCCTTCCCTCTCTCTCCTCTCACTCTCTCAATTCCTTGCATTTCCATCCATTTGCATGGTTTGTGACGCGCATTGCGCTGCTGGGACTGCTCTGCAAAGTTTGGTTTGCTAGGATTTGAGGTTGTAGAAGTGTAGAAAAGATAGAACAATCTCTTTCTCTTTCTTGTGATTTCCATAGAGCCTGCTTACCAGAGAGCTTAACTGCGAGAGAGAAATTTGTCCAGAGAGACCGGTCTATGATACAGCACGGCGACTGGCTTTACTTTTGAAAGGAGCAGTGATTTTGCTACTGTCTCCCGAGGAGTAGGCTGTTCTTGGCTGTTTGAATTGCTGGGATCTTCCATTCGAGTAGGGGTGTTGTTGTTATTTTTTTTCATGCAACTCCCTCAAGACTGACTCTTAGATCTGGTAGTAGAAGCAGGAGAGATAAAAGCGAGCACAGAGATCAAACAAGAAAAAGGAACTTAGATTCACGTAGTTTGTCTGCTTGATTAATTACTCATTCATAGTCTCTTCCCTTTTCTCTTCATCCCTTTAAGCTATCTAGTGAGGACCAAAGGAATGGACTTGGAGCACTCCTCTCCAGCAAACATGTCGTAAGTTTCTTTTTCTTCTTTGCAAAAACTAATGGTTCTTTCTAACGCAGTCCCCGGAAGAAGTACTCTACACACTTCCTTATGTCCTTTGCTGCTTTTGATAGTTGCCGGAAACCTCCTGCCAACATCGATCTAAGGTAACACCAGCTCTTCCAGAGCTTGTTTGGACTGAGCTCTCTATAACAGGGAGATAAACTCCGAGGTTTCAGTAGAGGAGGACATTCCGGAATGGAGACGGAGAGCGTCGACTCCCTCTCCAAAGAATGGAAATCGCAGTAAAAATCGTCTTTCACACAGTTTGTCGGCTTCGTTTCGTTCTCAGGGGAAAGAACACTGCTCGAACCGGGAAGAGCATGTCTCGACATTCCCCACGAAGAACAGGGTGGCGAAAGATGCTACTGTGAAGGTAAGAGTGTGTTTAGTTGAGATGGAGCTCGCTTAACTTTGGATGATTTGATTTGCAGCTCGACCAGCATCCGGTAGAACCCAAAGGTCTGTTTCCACGATGTTTAGTTTACACGCTCTTCATACGTGTTTTGCTATGGCAGGGTCTAATCCTCGCCGTCTGGACTACAAACTTCGACACAAACTCACACCTCTGGAAGTTGCCAAGGTTGATAACGAGATCAAGAGAGGAAACTTTAGCGCTTCTCCAGGTAAAACTTCTCAGCAAAAGTGCTCGAAACTCATGCGTAGAACATTGATTCTTCTCCAGGAGCATCGGATAGTGAAACTTCGACCGAGCTTTCGGACCAGAAAATAGATCTGGACACTTTGTTCGTGATAGAAAAGAGCCCGGTCCTCCCGATGCCTACGGCTCCAACACTAGAAGAGATCGAGAAGGACATGAAGGTGGGAGGAGGAACATCAGGCTTCTTGACATGCCAGGACGTGGAGAAATCCATCCTGACCGTGACCGAGGAGCTCGGTTCTAGCAGTAGTATCAGTCCAAGAGAGCAATGGCCGGATGGAGAAGACAAGGTTGCGTCCAAGCACATCCTGTCGCTGCTCCAAAGAAAGCCTTCAGACGAAGAACACCTCGAGGAGGAGAACGTAGAAAGTTGCAAGAAGGATCTCGTCGGCGAGCTCATCTCCCAAGTTCCCATCCTTTCGAATCTGGAAGAGATGCTCAAGATAGCCAACTCCGACTCCAAACGCGACGCGAGCTTCGGGAAGCGCCGGTTGATGTACAACGACACGATCGACTCCATGCGAACTGCGGTGAAACCATCCAAGCACGACAACATAGTAGCTCCAGGAAAATGCGAGAGTTTTAGTCCAGCCACCACCTTGTGGCAAACAGCGCAACCATTCCAGCAGCAGCAGCAGCATTGGGAGACCAAGCTTCCTCCTCCTCTCGGTGGCTTACTGCGGCCACCATCGCTAAACTACTCGGCTCCTCCAAATACTTTCCTCCACACCCGGCCAGTGGCAGCAGGGATGGGGGAAACTCCTCTAGTTCCTCAGGCTCTACAGGCCCTCCAGCGGCTCGTGGATCATCAGCTCCACATCCTCAACAGCATCCCGGGCGAGGTTACTCCAGGGATGCTGCATCAGAGATTGAGTCGGAGTGTTTTGGGTTATCCGGCCACGGGAACTCACCTCCTCCTTGCAACTTCTGGTGCTCCAGCGTATAGATTTGCATGAGCTCTATTCTAACTTGGTGAATCAACTTATGCACAGAACTTTGTTCTTTTATAAGCTTTCATATTTATTTATCCTTTTTACTATATTTACATGTTACATTTGTAATTTAAAATATTGTTTGAGGAAACAATCATCATTAAAATTACTCATCCACCTTACAGTTGACTAGTTAAACAAAAAATATATTAATCAATCCTGGAGAATAGAATATTCTCAAAACCCCACCTAGATGCTCTCTTCTCTCTCTCTACTCTCCACCTTCTTGGCTGGAAGATTGATCCGCCTCAGCAGCTCTAGCGATTCATCGTTTGGCCTCACGCCCGCTGCCAGCATCCGTCCATCAAACCCAAACACTGGAACTTCTGCCTTGATGTACGCCTTGAGCAGCCAGTTGTAAACCTCGACGTCGGACCCTTGTCTCTCACGCTTGAGATCGCGAACAATGCTCTCGGCCCGCGAGAAATCCCCCTGCTCGGCCAAAACTCGCAGCACCAGCAGCGTGGTGGCACGCAGCGGCTTGGGATGCCCCAGCAAGCTCCGATCCCACGCCTTTCCATACTGTATCAGCGCGTTGCTGTGATCCCTGGCGTCGATGTAGCCCGCCACCATCGCGTGATAGATCGCGGGATGGCACTCAAACCCGGCCCGGAAGAGCTGCTTGTAGAGCTCGTTTGCCTTCTCCATGCGCCCGTTGCTCGCGTACACGGCGATCATGGCTCGGTACGACTGGATGTTGAGAGTGAACTTGTTGCCAATCTCGTTGAACAGCCTCTCGGCGCGCTCCACCTCTCCCAGCTGCCTGTATGAATCCAGCAAGCAGTTGTAGCTGCTGGACGAGAACTTCTTGAACGTCTTGAGGAGGATGGAGCGTAAGTTCTCGATCGCGGCCAGGTCTCGCAGCAGCGTGTAGATCCGCAGCATGCACTCGTAGATGAAGAGCGGCTGCCTGGACGTGAGCTGCTCATCCAGAAACTTTCGTACCTCGGCCTCGATCCCGTCAAAGCCACCGATCTTCTGCTTGGCTCGCAGCACGATGAGGTACGTGTGAGCGTCGGGAGCTACGCCGAGAGAGCTGAGCTCGTCATACATGGCGCGGACCTTGTCGTCCTCGTTCTTGCGCTTGTACATGTCGAGCATGATGTTGTAAGGCTCGACGCGAGTGATCAAGTTAAGGCTCTTCATCTCGCTCATGGTGTCCTCGGCGGCGGGGATGGCGTGCCATCTCGCGAAGACTTGGAGCATCGCCGTGTAGGCGTCCTCGGATCTCAGCTCCGCCGGCATCTCCCAGAAGCACCTGGTCGCTTGGAACTTGGAGATCCGGCCAACCAGCTCCAGAAGAAGGACGTGGTCCGACTCCTCGATCTCGAAAACTTTGTTCCTGATCATCCAGTCGCATATCTACAAGACAAGAAGAAGAAATTGTCAAAAGCACGAGAAAGAGAAGAAGAAAAATCAAGAAGAGCAAGAGAAGAAAATAACAAGGACAAGCAAGAGAAGCAAAGGACGAGGCAAAGAAGGAAAGAAACAACAAAACTGACGAGCAAGAGAACCAAAGAAAAAGAGGAAACATAGCAAAAGAAGCAAAGAAGACGAAGAAAAATCAAGACGTGCAAGAAAAGCAAAGAAGAAGAAGAAATATCAAGAGGACGAGCAAGAGAAGCAAAGAAGAAGAAGAAAAATCAAGAGGACGAGCAAGAGAAGAAGAAGAACGAAAACTTTGTTCTAGGAACTTACTTCGCGAGCCTGCCCAAACTTCGCAGTGATCCGGAGCTTGTAGATGACGTTGAGCAAGTGCTTCTTCTCCATCTTGACGCTTTGCATGTATTCTTGGACGATTGGAAGAACGCTCCTGCGGAAAGAGATCTTCGCGACGCTCTGCCACAGCCGCAGCCACGTCGTGTCGTGGTACTCGAAACGAATCTCATGGATCCCTCTCCGGAACGCCAGTCTCGCCGCGGCATTCTTCCGATCGATCGCAGAGGTGACACTGCTGGAGGGTTGTGACACTACCCTGCAGCGGCGCGGATTCTATGAATGAAAATCCTCGCATTTTCAGTGCGCTCGATCGACCATTCGCGGCCTACCTGGAGAGAAGCGAAGCCGCGCCTCGAGCTCCTCCTCGCAACGCTGCGCTCATTCTATAAACCCTAGAGACCGAGCTAGGGTTTAAGCGGCAATGCGCAGGGCTCTTCGCCTGGGACGAAGTGCCGCAGTGATCCACAGGTAACATAGACTCGCTTCTGCGCTCTTGATGCGATTCTTGCCCCGGCAGGAACGATTTCTTGGTTTTCCAGCCGAAATCTTGCCTCGCGCGCGCGCATTCCACGCTGCTGCTGCATCGATCGCCGGGATTCCAGTGTAATATCAAGAATGTGGGACTCCGGATGCTCCAATCCAGGCGCTATGTGTCCGAGACCGAGGAAGAGGAGGAGGAATCGCCAGACGGCGATGGCGATTTGGATGAGAATCAAGAATGGCCGACGGCGGAATTGCCCGGCGATTGTGTGGATGATCAGGTTCTCATCCTCTGGGAGCCCAACGCGGAGGATACTTACGTGCAAACTCTTGCCCCCCTGTGGAAGAGAATCCTGCGAGCGCTTCCACAGAGCCAGCACAACGTGGTGGAAATGATCCAGGAGTGGAGTGACAGTGATTCGCACTACTTCCGTGCTTACAACAGCGATCGCTTGAGGAGCTATCTAAGAGTTATCATCGCAAGGCTGCGACGAAGAAGCCGGTTCTTGCAAGCTCTACAGGTGAGCTCTCGGATGTTTTTTTTCTTTCTTCTCGGTTTCTTCTACAACGAGTTTTCTCTTCACGCAGATATCAAACTGGATGTTTCACGACAGGAGATTCACAGTCGCTACGCAAGATCTCGTGATGCGTTTGTACCTGACGAGTCGATCTGGGCTTTTCGAGGAGGCCGAGAAGATCCTAGCGGAAGTTCACTTCACGCAGCGCAACGAATGGGCATACTTGGCGCTGCTCTCCGGGTATGCTAGCAGGAGGCACGTAACGAGAGCCGAGAAGCTGTGGAGGAGGATGAAAGAAAGAGGATTGACGAGGAGCCCGCACGGCTACAACAACATGCTCATCATGTACAAGCGGAAGAAGGTCCACTCCAGGCTCCGCCAGCTTTTCGTGGAGATGGTGCTCTCCGGAGTAGTTCCCGATGCCACGACTTTTCTGGTGATTCTCAGCGCGCGAGAACAGATTGGTGGCTTCCAGGGGATCGAGAAGCGAGCTCGTCATGCCATGGCGAACTTGGAGATTCTAAATCTCCCGTGGTTCACCATGGAGGTGGTGATGCGAGTCTACGGCTTCCTCGGTGACTTGGAAGGGGTTGAAAGGATGTGGAAGAGAGTCCAGCGGAGGTCCAGCCTCCATCACACGTCCTTCTTGTGTGCGATAGAGGCCTTCAGCATGGCCGGGGCGATGGAAACTTCCGAGGCCATTTTCCAGAAGATGGGAAACGAGACCAAGGACTCTGATCTTCAGCGGCACTACGTGATGATCGAGGCCTACTGCCGGGAAGGGATGACAGGCAAGGCTCAAGGACTGCTGAGAAAGCTGATTGCCAAGGGTCGGTCTCCAGCACCGTTTGCTTTCAACTCCATCATCCAGTGCTTCCTGAAGGACAAGCAACTCGACCGAGCTCTGGAGCTGTTCTATGTTTCCTTGAACCGGTTTGGGACAAGGCAGACATTGGCTCTGGGACCGTCCATTCTGGGAATCATGGAAGTATACGCTAAAGCCGGAGACGTGAACGCTGCCGAGCAGATCGTCCACAAGTGCCAAGAGTGCCACTACTTTTCGGACGTGAGGCTGTACAACGCACTGCTCAAGGTGTATCTCAACTCTCAAGTCCCAGCAACGGGCATTGAAGATCGTTTCAGGGATTGCCTGATGCAAGGCGACACTGAATCGCTAGAGCTGCTGAGGAAGGCATTTTAGGGAGAGAGAACAAGGTGTAATGAATACATCTAAAATATCTAACAGCTACCCTTAAACTTTCTCTAACAAATTTCTCTTATCCCTAAGTCAAACGCAAATGGGAATCTTTTCTTGTTTGTATTTTCTCCATTGATATTTATTTATACGTACAATGCTCATGGAGGGTCTTGAGAACTTTGCTCACTCATTGGCCAACTCTTTCTTTTCAGATTAGAATTCAAACTTGTCACTCCATTGCATACTCCTCTCTTAATCCACTACAGCTTTAAGGATACCTAGCCACCTTGGACAAACAATCTCCACTTCAACAGCCTTTCCAACCATCACATTTTATATTTTTTAATCTTATACAATGCCATGTTTGATACTTTGCTCAAAGTGCACCTTAATCTTGGCCTATAAGACAAACTCACATAGTGAAGAAGCTCAAAACTTTAAATTTTCCTCTTAGTTTCTATGAAGTAGCTCTTAGTTGTTTGTGAGATGAAAAAAGAAAAATGCTAACTCAAGTTCTCTTCTTGATATTGTTGAACAAAATATACTAGATTGGAATTGAATCTTCAACACTACCAACTTTTTATGGTTTCATGAGTGATAAAACACAAATAAATTGTGAGCTATTAAAGCCATTTACAATGGTGGTCTAGGCAAAATTAAAGCTAGTTGTAAGAGGAGTTTCCTTTTTCACAGTGTGAAAAGTTTACATAAGCATATAGAGAAATATATTTAAGTAAAATACTGTGATAAGCATAAGCAATTATGTTGGAATTAAAAGTTGCAAACACTTTGAAGGATGTAGAGAAGTAATGCAAATTCATTTTATTATAATGATTAAAACGAAATGCTTATAAAAAAGTAATTCCAAAACTACAAATTTGTCTAATGCAGTAGTTTATTTGATTATACACTAAGGGACATTAATTTCTCAGGTGAACAAGCTAGTTCATTTCAATGTTTTTATTAATTCTTTCTCTCTTATAAATAAGTTTTGAAACAATTGTTGCCCAAGTGCCTAATAAGTCTTACAAAACGTTATTATGCAATTTAGTTATTAAAAACAAGTAACACATCTTTCTGATCCCAAACTCACTATAGGATTGACATTTTGGAGTACAATTTCTAGCGAAATTAATTAGGAAACTTGAAACTGTCATAATAAAATAATGTGCAAGTCAGTTGATGTAATTGATAAATTAACATCATCTTAAGTATGAGTATATATAACCAAATCAGTGTTCCTAGGCAACTAAGAGCAATAGTCTTTCTAGGTTAAAGAATAAAAGATATATAAAATTGGCTAAGGTATACTTTAATTTGAAGTAAAATCTACTATCAAGTGTTTTATTTTGATTGGAGGAAAATGTGGTAAATAAGTTATTATAGAAATTTTATGCACTCAACCTCTTTGATAATGTCAATATAAAGACCCTCCCTGTAATTAGGTTATTTAGTTTTATTCAATAGAAGTGCAATATAGGTTATCCAAAAATTAGAGCACATACCACATATTTGACATATTGAAGAAGGGGTGAACTTGGAAAATTTGGACAATGGTTTAGAATTTGAATTTTTAATAGTCCTAATTTAATCATTGCTACTGCATTATTAATTTTGTGCTGAAATATATATTGAATACAATGCATTTATTTATAGATATTTCTAGAGACTATCACAGTGTTTCTAACTTAGTGTAAGCATATTTTACAATTATCTTATGCTATAAAGTTCAAAATGATATATATATATATATATATATATATATATATATATATATATATATATATATATATATATATATATATATATAGATAGATAGATAGATAGATAGATAGATAGATAGTAAGTAAGTAATTTTTAGATATTTTATTTTATTTTATTAAAATAATACAATTTAGAATATTTATTTTTATGTGAATCTGTATAACTCTTTTAAATTAATCTTTAGCAATTAAGACTATTAAAATATTTATAACATATTAAAAAAATTTACATGATATGGACTTTAGTTTAGTTGGTAATCTAAATATAAAACTGATAATTATTGATGAAAATTCATGTGAATCAGAATGTTAATGAAGTATGAAAATTTAAATAATTTGCTAAGCGTTGCATATAGAAATGCTTGGTTTACTTAATAGTAGTGTTATTCCTACTTATTAATCAAATTCATCAAAGAAAAGTTTATAATTATAACCATGTTTATAATTTATAAACACAAGATTAATCTAAATGAATGACAACAGTAGAATATCTAAGTATATTCTAGATATATCCACTACCATACAGGTTTGCTTAAGCAAACCAAAAAGAAGATTCTAGAAAGTATTTAAACAAGTTTATAAATTATGAATACAAGATTAATCTAAATGAATAATAACCACTAGATGATAAAATATCCTAGAATATCTAAGCATATTCTATATATATCCACTACCAGCTTAAGCAAACCAAAAAATTATAAAATAGTTTGGCAGTGGCAACACTAAACTTGTACGTTAATGAAAGTCAAAGAGGACGGAGAGGATCTTTGGTCAAACAAATAAAAATTTACAAATGCCGTGCTATTGCGTTTTTAATATTATGCTTACGAAAGATTCCACTATCGCTTTGCAAAGAAACTTTTAAGTCATGCCGATGAGCTCTCTCAGCTTCTGGATGAGAGCACGGTCATCAATCTGGAACGCCTTGGCGATCACGTCGTCGTTGATGGGAGGATTAGAATCAAACACCGCCCTGGCCACCTGAGACGCCCCGGGGTTCTGGCTGTTGAAGCCAGCGAGCGCAACCGCAGGCTCCTGTCCCACATTGAGCTGGAAGTGAATGAGTCCCCGGGGGAAGACGAAAAGATCCCCTGGATTGAGCTTTTGGGCAAAGAGCTTGTTTTCCGGCAAGGTGGTGACGAATCCGACGTAGAGGGTCCCGCGCAGGAGGAAGAGCAGCTCGGTTCCTCGGGGATGGACGTGGGGGGGATTGGTGCCGCCGGGAGCGTAGTCGATGCGGGCAAAAGCAACACCAAAGGTGTTGAGACCGGGGAAATTGTTGACACTCGCCAGGGTGACGTTGGAGCCGAGCTTGTTGTAGGTGTTCCCGGGAGTTGCCAGGAGGCTCGACTTGAAGTCCTCGGGCTTCACATCGTCAGCCGCCTTGCAGACAACGCCGTTCACCTTGATCTTGGAGCCATTATCTGCAACGCAAAAGTCCTGCAGCATGTCCTCATCGGCTGCATGCACAAACAGGATGGAGCTGATTGCTAGAAGGAAAGGTAGAACAAAACGAAGATGAGCCATATTGCGAGCTTGGAAAGAAACTGATGGAGCTCTGAAGAGAGGGGCAGGTATTTTATAGCCGGAGGGGAGGCGGGGTCCTTCGGATGACCTCGTCGTGAATCGTGCACGATTTTTCCCAGTCAGGTTACACACGGTGTTCTTTTCCTTTCTATTTCATATTTTAGTCTTGCTATCCGCGTGATTTGCTTTCTGTGAAGTCGTCTCTGACGTTTTCTTTTAGTATGATGAAGCCGTCAAAGTCATCTTGTCTGTGTGTAATGAGGACTTTTGTTTTGATGCTAGGAACTAGTCCTTCTAGAGACTCCGTGAAGCGTGGATTTTAAGGTGATGGTTTGACATTAATTTGCTTTCTTCTTGCAGGACATTTCTCAATCCATGCTCTTAAACTTTTCTCTAATTTCTAAATCTGCACCTATCTTCTGGCAAGCTTCTTCCTCGCTGGATTTCTCCTTCTCTACTTTTAGTGGTCTCCTCCAGCAAGTATTGCTACAAATGGATTTAATCCAAGCACATTGAGGTATCCTTATTTCTACTAAATATACGATTACACTCAGAAAATAGTTTTAATTCTTATGAATATGTAAGCTGGGTGTTCTCAAAGTTAACAATTTTCCAATCTTTGAATGTGATGGATCAACTTTGATTTCTGTATTGAACTTTGAGTTGTACATTAAATATGGGGGTTGCCTCATCAATCACATAGGAGTACATACAATAACAACGGACAAAAGCAGCTTGCTGCTCCTGGTGTTTGCTTTGCTCTCACACAGAAACTCAATCACAAATGCCAAGTTATATTCCCAGTGCTCTCTCCACAAACAAGAAAAAAATTATTAACAGTTCACACAACAAACCAGAAATAACAAGAAACCAAAAACACTTAGATTAGGAAATCATGTATTTATCTATCTCCAATGCCAAAGCTGATGACTTTGACATCTGGATTCTTCTGAAGACTGACCAGTGCGCCTTCTTGCAATCTGATCCAAAAAGGGGATGAATAGAGCATTCGATTTTGCCGGACCTTGGGCAATCGCAGCAAGAGTCCATCCAAGCCACAAGAAAAAATGGAAACTAATTGTGTCGTTGACGAGCGCACTCGATTGCGATTGTCCCGCCATTTGGAGTGCAGCTGTGCGATGGGGGATGTGTTTTCCCCGCCATGAAAACTTCGAAAACTTGAACCTGCCAGGACTTGAACCTCGGACGTCCCCATCATCCAACGGCCATGATGCGATGCGCGTTCTTGGCGTCCAAGAGCTTGCCGCCCTTGTCAGATCTTGCGACAATCCCAGCGATGGACGCCGGATCCACGCCCAGATCCTTCACAGCGACCACAAGAACAGCGTCTTCCTGCGAAATCTCCTCGTCCAGATGTATGGCCGCTGCGGCTGCCTGGAGGAAGCGCGATCGGTCTTCGATTCTACCTCGGATCGCAATCTCTTCTCTTGGAATCTCATCCTCCAGGCCTACATTCGCAACCAAGACCTGGAGCAGGCGCGATCGGTCCTGGAAAGCATGCCGCGGCAGGAGATTGTGTCCAGCAATGCCATGATCTCGGCATACGCCGCAGCCGGGGACGTGCAGCGCGCCAAACAGCTCTTCGATCGCATCCCTGCCAAGAATTCCATCACCTGGAACGCGATGATCGAGATGTACTCGCAGAGTGGCAATCTCGGCGACGCGGAGGCGGTATTCCACTCCATGCCGGAGCAAACCCTCGTTTCTAGCACTGCCATGATCGTGGCTTATGCCCATAACGGGCATGTCTCACGCGCTCGTGAGGTGTTCGATTCCTTGCCCCAAAAGGACGTGGTGGCGTGGACGGCCATGATCCAAGGCCACTGCCAGAACCAGAGGCTGGATGAAGCTAAAGATCTCTTTGATAGAATGCCCACAAGAAATGTAGTAACATGGACGACCATGATCACAGCATATGCCCAGGCAGGGCATATGGAGCAAGCAAAGATTCTCTTTGAAGATGCCCCGGATCTTAATGAGGTGGCATTTACGGCTATGATCGACGGCTACGCATCTAATGGCTGCGTGGAAGAGGCTAAAGCTTTGTTTGAGAGTCTGCCAAAAAAAGACGTGGTGGCTTGGAACTCCATGCTTTGCGCATATGCCTTGAATGGGCATTTGGACGAGGCTCTGAATTTTTTCCAAAAGATGGCTCACCACGACGAGATCTCTTGGACGACAATGATCCACATGCTCGCCTCTAGAAACCATCTTGAAAATGCAAAGTTTATTTTCGATCAAATGCCTTACAATAGCAAGATGGCGAGCACAGCACTCCTCTCGGCCTATCTTTGGAACGGCCACATCCACGAAGCGATGAGCCTCTTCCAGGCGATCGAGGAGCGCGATGTGATTGCCTGGATGGCAATGGTGGTGGGCTTCGCTCGCAAGGGACTCCTCTTGGAAGCTCAAGTTTGGTTCGAGAGAATGCCAGAGCAAGACTTGGTCTCATGGACTGCAGTGGTGGCCATGTATGCTTCCACTGGGCATGTAACCGAGGCCTTGGAAACCTTCCATAGGATCATCCAGGAGAGCACGATGCCCGATCACATCATCTTTACGAGCGTGCTTGCAGCATGCCGCCACTCGGGTGTGATGAAAATCTCTCGGGATTACTTCCAATCGATGATCCAGGACTATGGAGTCGAGCCCACAGGTGACCACTACTGCGGGCTTGTCGACGCATTTGCAAGGGCTGGAGAGCTGGACAAGGCTGAAGAGCTCATCCACAGCATGCCCTTCGAGCCCGAGAGTGTTGCTTGGGTCTCGCTACTGGCTGCTTACAAAGATCCCCAGTGTGGAGCTCGAGCGGCCCAGAGACTCTCGGTGTTGGGGTTGGCATCACAGTCGAATTTTTACATGCTGCTCGGCCAGAATTATATTAACTTAATTTCATTACCATTAAGTTAGGGCTCACATTCTTTCTATCTTTGTTCAAAGTTATGAAGAGGTTGGGGGGACATCGCCACCAAAGAAAAGCACAAAAAAGTAAAGTTGTCATATGATTCCTTGCTGCTACCGCCAACTTTTGAGAAGAAACCCACACTAGTGTTGGACATGGACAAGACACTAATCCATGCCCATAGCATCCCTTAGGCTCTTTAGTGGGAAAATTATTCCATTGGAGCATTACCATGTTGCAAAGAGGCCGGGCATGGATAACTTTCTGAAAGAGATGTGTAAAATATATAAGATTGTGGTTTTTACTCAAGCAAAGAAGCCATATGTAGACAAGATCTTGGATAGGCTTGACCTAACTGAGAATTTCTTTGCCCATCATTTGTACAGAGATTCATGCTTGCCCAAGGAAGTTAAAAGGAAAAAGGTTGTGAAAGATCTTTTAAGACTAGGGTGGGATTTCAAACACATAGTGATTGTAGCCCAACAATGGAATTGTCGTTGTGCATTCAAAAACAAGAAAAGGCATAAATATTATAAATTGAAAACAATAAGCAATCTGCTTAAAAAATTGCAAGTGTTGAAAATATAACACAAAAAAAGTTAGAAAAAAAGAAACTCATGTAAAGATAATGCTATAATACTGCTCACTCTAAATTGATTGTGGCATTGTTTCCATCAGGAAAACAATGTCCAATAATCATAATTAGAAAAGCATCTCCTGATTAATAGCATTCATTATTTGAGAGCCAATCGATAATTGTGATATTTAAGCAGCAGTGTCATCCACAAAGAGCCAATCGATATACTTTTGCAGAGAGAATTCAACGCAGCTCTTTGCGTTTTCTTCAATCTCTGTCTTGAAATGCACCATAGACGATTATCCTTTTAGCGTGGCTTGACAAGAGTGGCACATAGTTTGGATACGATCTCATTATGCTCACTGTTTTGTTGTCCATCCCCACCTACAAATCAAACATGGAGTGAGGAAAACAAAACGAAAACAAAGCTTGTAAACAAGAGAAGTTTATACCAGTAAGATATCTCTAGTGAATAAAACACCCCTCTCTTGAGCTCCATGAGACCAGTGGAGGATTTGAGCACCAGCAAAATGGCCACCTAAATGTAAAAGCGTGAGTCCCTCCCATAGCTGGAATGTTTTGCCCTTCCAGAACTTAACGTTTTCGTGCTGGTAAACCACCCATTTCTTATCCCTGCCGAAGTATCTACAGAGAGATCGAAATGAAAGAGAGAAACAAAGGTAGACAGTACCAATATACCGGGACACCTCCGATGTGGCATCATCTAGAAATGAGATGCAGTTCCACAGTATGTTTCCCTCTATCAAAAACATAAAAACCATTAAAAAAAAATGCACAACTGCCAGAGTCTGGATGAGAAACGCACGCTGTCCAATTCCAAACTTTGGAAAGGTTATGATCTCGAAGACCTGCGGCTCATGCTTCTTGAAACCATTGCGAAACTGCAATCTCATCTTGCTCATGGACGTCCACTAAATCTAGAAGTCAGAAAAACTCGAGGGCAAAAATCTTAGATGGGCATACCTGGAACGAACTGGCGATCATTGGAGCAGATAATACAGGACGAAGGCGGGCCTTGGCAGGATGTTGGAGGGAACTCCACCCCACAAGTATTACAAATATGACCCAATTTTGTTACAATACCGCTAAATACCTCGAGGATTTCCGACCCAGACGAATGGAGCGTTTGCCTCCATAAGTTTGAAATCCGAGAGTGTTAACAGGATTTTCATGGTATCGTTGTAGAAAGCAACAACGTCGTGCATTGCTTAGAAACATTAAGAGATAACTAAGATCTTAGTAGAAGGACGAAAGATCTCAAGGAGAAAGATCGACAGACCTTGAGACCCTCTGGAGATAGACAAGCCAAGCCTCCTGTTTGAGCGGTGTTGGATGCTCCATTGAAGCAAGTGCATATAACATGGTTAAAGATGTTTCTTACTGGAAATCCATCGGTATAGAGCAGCTGATCGGGGACGATTGTCAGGTAGAACGCAGCGTATTTGGAGAGATCCAGTCTCTATGGTCACCTGCGCGAGAATTTCACTCGTTTAGGTCTAAATGACTTTTCTTGGTCTTAGGACAGTCGTTTGATACGTAGATCGTATAGTAGATGTGCATTTCATGTAAGACAGTGCTGTGCTTTTGGAAAGGGCTGGTTTGTCCGATCATCAACATAACCGAAAACACTTTTTGCTGTGAAACAACTGGAAAAGAAAAAGCAAGAAGAGAGCAAACGGACAAAGAGCTTACCGGATAGTCTGCCGCTGAGACGCTCAGATGATATCTATCGCCCAATAAACCAGCCTGCTCTCTGGGAAAGTTGTGTCCAGGATGACGAGTTTGGCTCCGGGACTACACAAAGACAAGATGATAGAGCTGTCAATTCATGAGCTCGCTGAACATACCGAGTTCTAAACCAATGCAAACACAGAAAGAACAAGAACCCACACTACGCAAGTGATGGAGTAGAATTTTGTATGTGCATGTTCTTCCTGCTTTAATAACATCAGTCCAATTCACAGCAATTCTTATTTGTCACGCTCAAACTCCATCAAACCCGGAGGATCCACTCCCAGATGCTGTACGGTGGCTACTCCATCTTCAATCTCCTCCTAGTATCTGTGAGATCTTCTAACGAATGGCAACAACTTTCAGATGAGATTTCCTAGGGCAGCTCCGAGCAGTAGGCCAGCGATGCGCGTTCTCCGTGATCGCCCCAATCTATTGTCATCGAAGCCGAAACGGGCATCTGGATCAAGCTCAATATGCCGTCCTTGATCAGTGAATCACTTGGACCGGGATGATAAATAGCATTTGCCTCGAACGGGAATCTGGATATCTGTTTCTCTTTGGGTTATGACTACGCTTCAAAGACTTATCAACATAAGAACATTTATTTTAATTTGATGGTGACCTGTTTTAAGAAGAAGCGGGTGCTCAACCGGCTGCTGGCACAAGAACCGTCTTGGGCAGGGTCGGGAATAACTGCGTGAAGAGAAGAAGAGCGGAAGCTACGATGGTGGATGACTCCAAGGATAATCATATATCAAAGATATATATACATGATGAAGAGACACGCCTCTAGCCTACACCTGGATCAGTGAAGTGGCACTCCTGCCATCTAGGATCATGTCATAGAGAGTGTATACTCAACATGACATGAATGACGACATGAATCGCCAAGCATTCACAGCTGTGCTGATCTCAGCCACTATATATATATGCCGCACTGAAGAGAGCCACGATAGCTCTCTATGTGGATGACTGCATCCTTTTCTCAAGTGAAGGTGCTACCATGAAGCAGTTGAAGCTGGATTTGGGGTGCCGATTCAAGATGGTTGACATGGGACCTCTTCACTACTGCCTTGGCATTCAGATCTTCCGAGACAGGAGGAAGGGAGTGATTCAAATGTCTCAGAAGAGTTACATTCTGGACGTGCTTCAGAGGTTTCAACTCAGTGAGCTGAACCCAGCAACCACACCTATGGAGGAACATATGAAGTGGATCCCATATAGGCAGATGGTGGCAGCATCACACCAAAAGAAATTTGGCATGCCTGCATCTTGCAAGATCGCTCGTGCCATCTCCACAAGAGTTCGGTTCATCCTCTCAGCCTTCCATTTCGCTCAGGTGTAAGTGAAAGAGGGAAGGATGTCCTGGAGCTGGTACACTCTGATCTATGTGGCCCAATGCAGACCATGTCAAGGACAAAGAAGAAATACTTTGTCACATTCATCGACGATTTTTCAAGGATGGTAGCAGTGAAGTTTTTGCTGCACAAGTCAGAGGCCTTTGAAGCTTTCAAGGTCTACAAGCTGCAAGCAGAGCTTGAGACAAGCAGAAAAATCAAGATGCTGAGAAGTGATGGTGGTGGAGAGTTCACCTCTAACGCCTTTAAGGAGTTCTGTGAGCAAGCTGGAATTAAGCGGCAACTTTCAGTGCCTTCAACTCCTGAGCAAAATGGCGTGGCTGAGAGGATGAACCGAACTCTTGTGGAGATGGCACGAGCGATCTTGCAAGATGCAGGCATGCCAAATTTCTTTTGGTGTGATGCTGTGAAGACAGCAGCCTACTTGAGGAATAGGCTGATTACTTCTGCTGTCAAGAGACGAACACCTTATGAGGTGTGGTATGGGAAGGCACCAGACGTGAGCCATCTCAGGATCTTTGGGTGTGTAGCTTATGCACTCAAGGACGAGCCCAAGAAGCTGGACAGTAGAAGTGAGAAGTGCATTCTCCTTGGCTATGCAAGCAAGATGAAGGGTTACAAGCTCTTCAACCTGAACACCAGGAAGGTGATCACGAGCAGGAATGTCATCTTCGACGAGTCTAAGATGTACAACACCAAGAACCAGCTAGCAACCACCTCGCAGCAGATGCCGTTACTCATTAGTGGTAAGCAAACCCTAATTGAGGATAGCGACAGCGAGGAAGAAGATGCCTCTCGACGGCAGCGTGCACACTCAGGCGGAGCAGCTACAGGTGGAGGTGGAGTCGTGGCTCAAGTTCCTCCCAGGGCAGGCCGAACTCTTCCAAGGAGTGTCTCAGATCTCTCACCTTCTCTCAATTTCGAGGAAGGCAGCTCTAGTGAGAGCGGCCAGCAGCAGGAAGCAGCAGCACCTCGTAGATCCAGTCGTGTTCGTGTCTTGACTGAACAAGGACAGCAGTACAGAGAGGATGTGGCATTAAAGCAGGCTCTTGAGGCTTCTAGAGTTGAAGCCAGAGCAGCTCGTGATCGCAGTGCATCTGAGCCACCTCCAGTAACCTCAGCAGCATTTTATTATGCTGCAAGCTCATCGTCCCAGCAGCAGGAGGAAGTTCCTTCTGAGGACATGGAACTCGACTTTCTAGCACTCTTTCACCAAGCAGAAGCCACAGTACCCAAGACCCTGCAAGAAGCCTTGGCTGGTCCAAATGCAGCAGAGTGGCAGCATGCAATTTTCCTAGAGTATCAATCTCTGATGGAA